ATTGTTCTGTAATTGTACAGTATAGAGAATAAATTATATTGCTAATAAGTTGAAGAATAATTGTGTACTTTTGGATAAAGATACGCGATTTTGTACATAGAAGTGTAGTAGAATTTATAGCGTCGTGAAAACAAGGAACTATTTGCAAACTTTAACAGGTAAAAAGTTTATGAAGAAAAGAGGTTCTACGAAGTTTTGTTCTATAAGAGAATAAAGTATTTTTTAATAACTACAAACTGTTAAATATTAAGTCTCATAATTGCTTCGAAAATTAGCGTGAAACCAAGTGGAGCCAACAATCATTGATTTGGAAGGTCAATTCAATGACAATTGAAGAGGTGAGTGGACAAGACGGTTAACTAAGACTTTGACGAAAATTGAGCTTTTTGGATAGAACATCATTAAATTTCATATATTTTCAACTGTGATTACTCTTATAGCTTGAAACTTAATAGAAGAAGAGATTGACAGTGCACATAGGAGTCAAGTAACAAAAAAATTAATAGTTTTACAATTTGTTAATGAAAAACTTATGCAAATGTACATAAGTTTACCTCTTTGTCCACTTACCGCTTCAATTATTTAAGGCCAATTTGCAGAGTTTAATATATTGCCTCTCGGACAGATCCAATATCTATCGAAAATTTCGCCTTTTTAAGATATTAAAGAGCTTTAATTTGAATTTTTTTTAGAAATTTAAGCAAAAATGAATTTTTTTTAAATCCTATAATAGAGATTTCTAACTAAAATTATATTAAATTTTTAGTTTATTTTACTAATACAAAATATATTAGAATTTTGATTTTGTTCCGTTTGTCTACTTTACTTAAACCAATTCTTATTTCATAACAAATATTTTCAGATTCAAAGCAAAATGAAGTAGATACGAAAATATTTGAATTCCTAAGCAAATGTTTATTTAAAGCTTTTATAGTATAAGCTTTATTTGGACCTTTTATTTCTAATAAACTGTTTTCAAAATTATAAAATTAAATTTAAAAATTACTACTGTCATTCAGTTGACAATCAAAAAAAAATTTTCCATTTTTTACAAAATTATAAAGTTACAAAAAATGTTTTGGTATATAACGATTTTATACACAAACATGTACATATACCTAAGTGAAGCAATTTAAAAAGTCTCAACAGCAATAAATGTTAAGTTTACATTTTGTTTTTTAAGGATAATAACATTATACATAACATATATGAGTATGTAATTATGATAATGTTATGAGCATTCGAAATATTCATGTTTCTGTCGTTATAGCAATAATAGTTACCATATTATTTGAATTGAAATAATCTTTTTGTATATATATACATATATATATACATACGTATATGTATGTATAATATAAAATGGATTTTCAGCACTTTGTTATTTGTTTTTTTTCTTTTACTTTCTTTATTCCTAATGTAATTATATCAGGGATTCGTGTCTAATGAACAACAATTTATAAAACATTATGAAACAAAGTTTTTAAATTGTGAATTGAGTTGATATTTTTGTATTATTCCAAAAATATGACCAAAACATACATGCATACATATAATTGGAAATAATAAGAAAAATAGTTTTTGAACATAAAGAAGTCGTGTTTTTAAGAAGATATTCTTATGTTTTAGCGACTCATCATGCTACATATGCAATACGTTTGGGAAGGGAATGAGAATACATTCGATTGCATCCGCAGTTATGTAAATATTAAGGTATATACGTTCCTCCAATACTACAATGTAGGCAAAAAGTAAGCAAATTTTTAAATGTACACGGCGAATACAATCAAAAATTTTAATTTCAAGTATTTAATAACTCTTATGTAACATATGTATGGATGAACTTGCAAATTTTAACGTTATTACAACTAATATCCTATTAATGAAAAAAGAAACCCTAAAATTATGCAATATTTTCGTTATAAGAAAAAACTATGTAACTTGATACAAGTTACTTTTATTTTTCAAAAGTCTTACAATTCATAAATTATATGTCATATTATATGTCCTCTTCTCCAAAGGTGTACAATGTTTATAGAATTACATTTTTTTTCTTCAAAATTATTACCAATATGACGATTTTTTGTTAACAATTTCTGATAGCCCGAAATATGTTCCAGTGGTAAACATGCACAAACACATTGTATTAACAGATTGGTCGTGAAAGAAAGTTGCGGGGGGGAAGCAGATATACTCTTTTTCGAACTACAGCCTGTTGAAAAAAAAAGGTACTAGATTTTTCCTACATCTAAATAAATGGACATAACTTCGGAACCATGTGACATAAAATAGCCACCGTGGACTTGTTTTACAGGTGATTGATTATTCTTTATTTTTGATCATACAAATAACTTGATCTGAACCATAGCTTTCGCGATATAATTCGTCAAAGTCAGAATTCCTTTTTGGTTTTTTTTTTATTACACAACTAGAAATTCCTCGAAAATTTTTGTTATTTTTTTTTTTTTGTTTTTTTTTCGTTGCGATATGATAAGATATAAAAATTAAGCCATATAATACTTTGCTCAATCTCTCATAGTTTTGGCAGTATAAATAGTGCCGAAAAATGTATTTGGGCCTGTTTTATTTTAGAATAAAATTTAGTTTATACACGTTAACCCATTTATTCTAAGGCGCTCACTTGAATATATTTTTTTTTTTTCAATATTTTTAATTTTTATTAAGCGAATAGGCGGACTTAATAATAGAAAACTAGTACATAATTTATTAATATTAAACCAAAAATTATTTTGTAAGAATGAGCACTGTACGTATACCTATGGGTTATAATTTTGACTTGATTCACCCGAATGGCCAACTACAAAATAATCTATTTTGTATACATGTACAATATATCCATATATATGTATATAGATGGAATTACAAATTATCAAAACGAATAAAAGAGCGATTTTTAAACTTGAACTTGAACAAATTACAATTTACAAAATGTAAAATTATTTACAAATAAAGAAAAACAATAATGAAAATCATTCACCCAAAACAAGTGTTCCAACATTCCCACAAACAATGACATAAATGTAAACTCCAATAATATTTTAGCCCCCATCTATGCATATATATACATACACATGTTAACATACATTCATATATAAACTAAAGTCACATTATACACAATCATAAATTATGTAATTGCTGGTTATAGAATCAATTTCTTTTTAAATTATTTTTTTATTTGTTTTTATAAAATTTTTATAAAAAATCCACCAATGTTTTGTCAACTCAAAACCACCCAAGTATAAAACATATTGTTCTGCTGTCACAATTCCACATACATACATAATAAACATATATGAACTTTAAAATGTCACATATGTACATATTATATGCAAGCATATAAACATACAAATTTTCATATTTATACGGACTAGACAGACAAATATACAAGAATAATAAACAATTTAGCGGTTTAGTTCTAGATAGATTCATATGAATGTATGTAGTAATTTTTTGAAGTTTGCATTCTATTTTGCGTAATAAATATAAAATTACAATAATTAGAAATATGAAAACACAAAACTATTAGAATTTTGATGTTACTTTATTTCATATAATTGTACTTAATATTTATGAACTTATTTACATTCATACATACATACATATAAATGTTATATTTTTGATTTAAGTAAAGGTCAATTTAGTTTCCAATTAATAAGAATTATTATTAGTCATTTAGACATTTTTTATGGAAATTATGTAGATATGTGAAAAAAATTAAATTTGTAATTTAGAAAATTATGAAATTTTAAAAATATTCCTTGTACATTCACATTATTTGAATAATCTAAAAAAATTTATTTCTTCATAGTGTTAAACTTCACTAGATTGGAGCCCTTTCCAAAAAGTACGTAAGAATACGAGAAAATTGCCTTTTTGTCTTCCAGAGTTTTTCTGTAAAATTTCTAGATTTTTAAATATCTGCCAACTAATCAGATCAGAGGTTTATCATGATAGAAATCCAATAAATCTTCCAATTATATTTCCATTCATATTTCCCACTATATGTAGTATAATTTTTCTTATTTCGTTCCCAATGATAAAAACCCTTCACCATTTCTGTTAAATCCTTTCTTTTCGGAAGATTTTGTTTATCATGATTTAAAATAAATTATGAAAAATTTTCCAGCGGATATTTTTACGAAAACTCCGACAATTACTTCTGTCTCTCCTATTTTTCAAAACATCCTTCCTTTTCTTTTTCCTATCATATTTTCAACACCATTTCACCATTTTTTCAGCTGATTTCCATTAATTCTGATAATGTATTACGTTGCTAGCCGTGGACCGGGATCATTATAACACTGATTATAAACTGTAGCGATAAAGTATTACCGCGGATTTTTTTATAAGTATAGCATTATTTGAAATGTTTTAACATTAATGAATCTATATTAACATTTCAATTTTTAATTACATAATTTTTAAAATAAACATTTTTGGAATTAAAATGCAGAAACGTCAAGGTGCACGTTTTTTCGATAAAATATCTGCCAAACAACCTTACATTGTAGGTGAAAAGTAAAACTTTCATGAAATAACTTCAAAAACATTATAAAATATTTTATCCACATTTTATAATCGTTGTCACAAATCATTAAAATAATTAATTTTTGAAAAAATGGCAACACTTGCAAAGCAAATAAAGTTTTACAAGTTCATGTCAACAATTATATTTTTATTTTGAAATAAAAATTACAAATAAAAATACAAATGCGCCTTTAAAATAATTTCAAAATCTTTTAAATAATAAAAACATTTTTAAATTAAATTTCAAAAAAACAAAAGTCCATCTATTATCGGTACTCAATTGACTTTTGATCTGAATTCTGCAAAATATGTAAACAATGAAATAACAACAAAAAAACAAAACTGATCTCTATATTTTGTATATAGAGAGAGAGCTTCATTAATTAATCTATGATGCCATAATATTCAGTTGTTAATTTAATCTCAATGTAGAAATTTCAGTAGTAGTTTAATCCACAATTAAATTATATTTTTGGTATTACAATTTAAATAAAATCGCAATGAAATTTTTTGGACAAATATTTTTTTTAATATTTGCATTACAAATATTTAATCATCAAACTGTTGCAAAAGGATATAATTATGAAGAGAATTGTGAAAATGATATTTGTCAAAGTTTACAGTTAACAGAAAATGACACATTACGTCATCATAATCGTGAAGAAAAAATCATAACAGAAAGTTTATCATTTAAACGTTCTTCAATTCCAATAATAAATTCAAAATTATTTCGTCATTTTTCAAATTTACGAGAATTAGATTTACGTGATACAAAAATTGAAAAATTTAAACCAGATAGTTTTAAAAATTTAATAAATCTTCAAATTTTAGTTTTATCTCAAAATTATTTAATAAATTTACCAGAAAATGGATTTTACAATAATAAAAATTTACAATTTCTTTGGCTAGATTTTAATAATATTGAATACATTGAGCCGGGAAGTTTTAAAAATTTAAATAAATTACAATATTTATCATTGGAAGGTAATCAAATCACTGAACTACCAAATAATATATTTGATGATTTAACATCATTATATGGATTATATTTGCAAAGTAATAAACTCGAAATATTGGATGATGATTTATTTAAAAATTGTAATAATTTAAATAATGTTCACATTGAAGATAATAATTTAAAAATAATTTCAAATAATATTTTTGCGGGCAAAATTTTAGAATATATAGACATCTCATTTAATCAAATCGAAGATTTCAAATTAATATTTGAATCGATTGGAACATTAAAAGCTGAACACGCTTTCAAATCTGGTGAAGTTGAAATCTATGGAGATGTTAATCATTTAGATTTCTCAAATAATGATAATATTGTTGGAATTAATATTGAAAATATAACAATGTTAGAAAACTTTCTATGGAGTGGTAAAAATGCAATCAAATTGGATTTTTTAAAAGATGCAAGCAATTTAAAACAGCTATCATTTAGTTCACCATCAATAAGTGTACTACCATCAACATTCTTTTCAACAATGACAGAATTAATATTTTTAAATATTAGTGGTTGTCAATTATCGTATATACATCCAAATAGCTTTAATTATCTCGATAATGTAGAAGCACTTGATTTATCAAATAATAAATTAAATGAATTAGATATTCATTTATTCTTACCGATGACAAAATTAAAACATTTAATTATTAGAGGTAATAAATTTTTATGTTCGAAAATTTCATCTGGTATACGTGATTATTTTGAACAAAATTCGATATTTGTTGAATCCGATCCATTACCATTAAATCAATTAAAGGATCCATTAAATATATTTGAAGGGATTTTATGTTATAATTATAAAGATGAAATTCAAAATGATGAAAGCCAAACGGATATTTCGGATAATGAATCCGAAATAACAAATAAATTTAAAGCTGAAATTTCTGAATTACGACAACATTTACAAATTATTGTACAACATTTTGAAGGAAAATTCAATAGAATTCAAAAAGAAATAGATGAAATCAAGAGGCGAAATGATATTATTAATAATGTTAATGATAAATTTTGGAATCAAATTTCAGTTAGTACCCCATAAGAATATTTGTGATGTGCCGTTTTTATTTTTGTTTTTAGTTTACTTAGTAATTAATATAATATTTTATAATCATAATGTAAAACGTGAAATATATATGCATTAAAAGGAAAATGAAATTGTTAATTTCAATATGCCAACATATGAAACCTCTAAGGTCGTTATTATCTTTATAATCTGTTATATAGCTCATAACATGAAAATTTTAATTAATCAAAATTCTATTAGAATAAATTCTATCTACGAGGACCGTATCAATAGATGCCGTTTGTCAAAAAAATTCTATTCTTCTTGTTGGTATTGATACTAAATATTTGTATAACAAAATGAAGAAATTATTTTGAGCGCTTCTTGTACATTTTTCGTCAACTTTTAAAAAAACCAAAGTCAATATGAATTTACATAAGAACTGTAATGTTACGTATTTTGAAAATTAATATTAAATGTCTTAACATTGATTCATTTCAAAATGCTTAATAGTACATCTAGAAAATTTTGGAGCAGGAGGTTTGGATCATAAGCGTCTGCGGAATGGTAACCATAACCTGTTCACCTTAAATTGTAATATCCCATTATATATATGCTACCAATACAATAAAATTCACAGGCTTCAGAAATTTCACTTTCCTTCAATCTTTAGAAGCAGTTGCTCCGTTATATTCTGTTTTTCAATGTGTCTCGATTGACAAGATTGAGAACATGAGTAATTATTCGTTAAGGACATATCTTTGTTAATCCACTAATCTTGCATAATTATTCAAAAATAGTGAAAAATCGGATTCTTCTTTTTAACACTTAACTTTTTATTGTACACAACTATGTAAGTACCACTTCTAAACCTTGTTTAATCATTTCTATGTGAGTACATTTTACTTTATATGACTCTAAAATTTGTTTACTCTACATTATCAGGGTATAAAAATTATATTAAATAAACAAATCATAAAAAGTGTTGAGTAGATCTTTACCACAAGCTTTGCACCCCATCCCCTTTGATTAGATGTAAAAAAATGTAAAATGAAAAGAGTCAATGTCTGTATTGATTTTTATCAGAAAAATCTAAACTTTGTAATTATTAAACTGATAGTGAGTAAAAAAGCGAAAATATAAAATTATATGAGATTATATTTTTATGAGCTTGAATACTTCAAATTAGAAATATTAGTAATATTATTAAAGTAATGGCTTTTAAATTTTATTCGACAAAGTATTATAAATTTGGTTCCCTGTTCATATGTACGAAATGTCTTTTTCTAGCTCACGCTACAATATGTGCTACCAAGAACAATAGAACCTCCAAATAATAGAAAAACAAATAGGTTTTGTTTAATGGTCTAGTAGACACACGTACAGGGTAGTAACAGATATAAGCTTATAACTTTTTAATTCTGACAGTTAATTTAATCAAACAAAATTGTAAATTATATAAAATGACAATGTTCTGAGCTACACAGCTACAATAGATCAAACATTATTTCGAATCTTATAGCGCATTACCTGAAAAACATATTAAATTTTGCTTTTTTTATAATAAATTAATAATTACAAATTCTAATAAATAAAATATTTCATATTAATTTTCTCTATAAATTTATTTAGTTTAGTATAATTAAAAATCTTAAAAAACATTTTATATAATTCTTTTGCATGTTTTTATTAAAAGATAACAAAACGCGAAATAAATGCTCGTAAATCTCTTCTAAAAATATATAGAAGGAGACAAATTATATTAATAATTCGTGCATCCGCTCCGAATCGTTAAATTTTAATCATACTTTGTTAACTTTAGCAGTTTTCCAAAAAAATTTATTAGTCTCATTCAGTCCGTCCGTCTGTCCGTAAACATGTTTACAAAACTTCTACACTTTTGCAAATAGAAAGCTGAGATTTCAATAGCACATTAATCTTTGCTAGAAACTTATTTCCGTAGAAGAAAATTTTTACCTATCTCACCCCCTCTAAACCCCTTATAATCCACCAAAAACCTTAACATGCCAGTTGTCAATTAATTATTGCAGCGAAACCAGAAGCATTTTTGAAATTTTGCAAAGATAGAAAAATAGTGGCTGGTTGCTTCTACCAGTGTATACTATTTTTGAACTTTAAAGAAACAGAATGTTCATTAAAATTTACCGTTATCTAAAATCCGTTTTTTCCAAATTTTTGATATAGCCGAAGGATGTAGGAGTCTGCAATTGTAGCAGTTTTTAGAGATTACCACCTCTTCTCAAGTCAACACCTCTTAAAATTTGGAAAATGTGAATTTTTAACGCTTTATATATTCAAAACTGCAATCTTTTTCAAATTTCTATATATGTAGAAAGCTAACGGTAAATATCATGCCATCAAAAAATTATTTTCCTTAACTCAACCAATAAACTCTTAAATTCGGCGAATATATAACCGCCTCTATATTTTCTTTTTTGTCTTATTTTAAAGATTTTATACATTGCTTACCCTAAATGTATGCAATTTTTGAAATTTTTTGGTTTACGAATAAAAGTAATTTTAATATTGTAGTAGATTGTTTCTAAAAGCAGTATTTTCATTTGTTGGAAAAAGTGCTATTTTAAAAACCATTGCTTTGATCCAACTTTATTTTTTTTTTAAACTTTATATATGCCTGTAATATAGAAAATAAGCTTAATTTATTCGGGAAAAAAATCATAATCAGTTGATTTTAATAAGTCATAAGTAAAGTACATCGCATTTTAATTGAAATTAAACAACAAAAAATAATAAAACAAAACCAAATATAAACGCGAACGCGCGAACGCAAGCTTATACGCTTATACGAAAACATATACAGAATAAACACAAAATAAAAGAACGATGATATCATTAACAAAAAAATTACAAATTTTACAAATTTTAATATTTTTATTTACAAAACAAACTATTTCAGATGAATATCAAGAAGAAGCACTTTATTTTTATGATTTTTGTACTGCATCATTAACTGATGTAACAATTATAACATGCTCTGATATAAAATTAAAAGAAAATTCTTCAAATGAAATTTTCGTTATTGATAATCTTAAAGAGAAGCCAAGAATAATAACATTTTTAAATTCACAAATACCAAATATTCCAAAATATTTTTTTAATATTTTTGATCAATTATTTGAAATAAATTTGAGTAGTACAGGTGTTAAGGAATTTTCAGTATTAAGTTTTTGGAAATTGAATTCATTAAAACGTTTATTTCTTTCAAGTAATGAAATCGAATATTTACCTGATGTTGGATTCTCGGGGGCAAATAATTTAACAGAATTATGGTTAGATTTAAATAGAATAAAATTTATACATGAACAAGCATTTCAAAGTTTACAAGATTTAAAATTATTATCATTACAAGGAAATCGAATTGAACAATTACCAGATGGAATTTTTAATCAATTACCAAATTTAGAAATACTTTATATTGGAGAAAATCAAATTAAAATGTTGGATTTAAATTTATTTACTGAAAATTTCAAACTTTCTGTTATCGAATTAAAACAAAATAATTTAAGTTTTTTGGATGAAATGATATTTTCATTTCAAAATTCCATTTCTTATTTATCATTAAATAATAATAATTTAAAAGAATTAATTTTAACATTCAATAAAATTGATGTACTTTTTGCAAATTCAAATAATTTAACAAATATTTTTTTAAATGGAACGATGAAAAATGCTTATTTACAAAATAATAATATAAATAATTTTTATTTTCAATATCCTGAAGAATTACAATTATTAGACTTAAATGATAATAATATTACAGATTTAACAAATATACAATTTGCATTATCCTTAAAAACTTTACATTTATCTGGAAATCCTTTATATAAAATAAATCAGTATACATTCCGTTATATGTTAAAATTAGAACGTTTATTTTTACGTGATTGTAAAATTAATAAAATTGAAGATAATGCATTTGAATTTAGTTCAAATCTGAAACTCTTTGATATTCAATCAAATTATATAAATGATTTAGATATTGAAACAATAAAACAAATGTCAAATTTAGAATATTTACGTCTACATAATAATAAATATTATTGTCCAGCTCTTTATGTTACCATGAAATATTTTATTTTAAGATCATCAATTCAATATACAAAAGATCAAATAGGATCAGAAATAAAGGAATATGAAGATAATATTGATGTGGAAAATGATGATAAATTATCTGATAAAGAAATGCATGTAGCTGGTGTTAAATGTTATAATACATTAGAAAGAAATTTGGATTCAGATGGAAATCAACTTAGTGAAGTAGAAATTTTAGAAAAACATATTGATTATTTGAGAAAGAATATTGAAGCTATTGCAATTTTTTATACTAAAAAATTTGATATATTGGCAGAAGAACTTGAAAATCTTAAAATAATACAAAATTTAAAATATAATGTTGATGAAAATATTTGGAATAAAGTTGTTATTAGTCCCGATGCAATATATTATTAACATCTTATTTGTGGAAAAAATAAGAATATAATTCACCCTTATTGTGAATCTCACTCGTAGAATTCTACGAATTTCAAACTTAGTTACGCACGTAGACTTTTAAGTGATTATAAATCTCACTCGTAGAAATTATTAATCTGCAATGGCAACATTATATTTAAGATTGTCAAAATGTTAAGTGACATTTAAATTTTGCAAATTTCGTAGTAGATACTGGTTTTCCACGTTTGAAAATTTCATTATTAGAATTGTGACATTTATTTTCATTACGAGTGTGATTCATAATTACTATATTACGAATTTCGGAATATATTTCTACTATTTCGGAATTTACAATATGAAATTCGTAATTTCTCCAAATTTCAGTGCTACGAATGAGATTTGTATTAAGGGTGTTAATGTATAAATTTTTATGAAAATGTATAAATTTTTTATGAGCTTTTTATGTAAAAAATTTTATTGTCAAATAATGTGATCTAATTTTTATATTTTCAATGTAAAAAATTTAATTTTGTAAATTGTTAAAAATTAAAATTCTAATTTCATATAATTGTAAGAGTTTTATTTATGCATAAAATTCAATTGAAAAATATCAAATTTCGTAAAAAATTCGACTTGAAATTTAATTCACTTACAAAATAATTCATAAGAATTTTTAAAAAAGAATTTAATCACAGTCGGATGATTTAGGAGTTTATAAGAATATTGAGAAATATATAATATGTGTGTATGTACACATATGACATACATGACAGATGAAAAAAAATTAAAATTCGTACTAAAAAAACTTTCATGTTCTGCATGTAAACATAATTATAATACCATTGACTGAAGTAATCATTTTCAATTATCCTAGAGTAGAGCTTGTAAATGAAAAATTTCCTCTATTACAATTAAAACTTCATATCTCAAGTAAGATCTTTTCACTTTAGAATAATTGCAAATTATAATTGCGTTCTATTTACAAAATGGTCCTGTACATAACATTTAAAATATAACATTTTATAAAATTCACGTTATTAAACGTTGTAGAATTTGAATAAATTTTAAAGCAGGAAAAAACAAGTGTAAAAACTTTGAAAAGCGGGTGTAATGACTGCGGGTGTATTTGCAGTTAAAACAGTTTTCCCAGTTGTTGAAATATTCTGTCACAGTCATATGATTTACTCTTAAAAAATTTTCTAAAATTTCCAACAATAAAAATATTGTCAAAACATTGCTGCAATACCTTATTTACTTACCTTATAGTACCAACATTTCTGATAATTCGTATAGCACTTACAATTATCAAATTTGCTGTAAATTAATTCCTAGAATAGAACTGAATTGTCAAAAATATTTTAATTCTAAGTATTACTTATTTAAAAATTATTTAAATTTTCCTAAAGCTAAGATTATATTGTTAAAAAATAAACAAAATATAAACAGTTTTTTCAAGAAAATTTTCAGAAAAAAAAAAATAAATCTAATAAATATCCAACAATGCCCTAATAGTCTAATCTAAAAGCTACTTAAGAGGGAGTTTACATATTTGTTATATTGTATTGTTAATATTCTCCTGAAGGTACACAAAATATATTTATGTACAAAAAATTAAATTTACAATTGAATTATTTTTCTTCATCTCCTATATTTTTTTTAAATATTTAAACTATGTAAGTATATAATTTTAATAATAAGTTAAAAATTTGTTTTATGTGGACAATAATAAGTCCCAAAAATTTTAGTAATCTTTTATTATTATTATTATTATAGTATACTAATACACATTTTTATATAGATATGTATGTATTTACCGTTTATGTATGTAACTTAAATAGTTAAGTAAACTTACAATAAAATCCATGTCGTATAATTTTATACTCGCATACAAACGTCTGTTCTAAGGGTATTACGATATTGCTTTACCGTTTGTAGCGCTTAGAAATAATGGTCTGAGATAAAGACATGAGTGTATGTTTTTGTTCCGCATCGAATACTGAGTCGATTTACCCAAGTCTGTCCGCCTATCCGTCCATCCTGATGATAACTCAAATACCAATTGAGTTAAACTCACAAAGTTTTCATAAAACATTTAACATAGTAGTTAATGCCGGAAATTGGATATAATCGAGACAGTGATTCGGGTAACAGTCACACAACTTTAAAAGGTATTTGGCTATATTTTGAAAATTATTGAAGAATAGATTTTGAAATTTTTCACAAAAAAATATATTATTGGGTCTGTCATGTATCATAAAAATCGTTGAAATTTTTTGACTCCTTATGTTAGCTGTCGTGCAACTTTATTAGTTATTTAGTCATATTTTAGAAACTATTAAAGGTGCCGTACTGAAATTTTGTATAAATAAATACAATAACATGGTCAACTGGTCACAATTTTCGGTAACCGCTGTTTAGATACCATAAGCGCTTATGGTAGCTTTCGTACAACTGCCAAAGCTTTTTGGCATTATCTCATAAATTAAAGAAGCTACCGTATTTAAAATATTGAATTAAAACTGTTATATTTCATAAATACTAGCTAAAATTTGTTGACCCGTATGGCGGAAACTACTATACAACTTCACTTGTTTGTTTATTATGAAAACAATTAAAATTATAGTGCTGAGATTTTGCATAAAGGAATATTATAATAACATTGCCATTATTTACAGTAAAATTCCCAGAAATAGTATGATTTTATTTGGTAACCACCTTATACGTATATGAATTGAATAGCATTATAATATATACATATATAAAAAAACAAGTGTTCGTTTGCAACAGTGTGGCAATCATCATACAACTCTTAAAGTCATTCATTCGTATACATAGTATCACAAAGTTGACACGATCAACTATAAATATTCTTTTTTTTCCTAACGTACATAAAAATGTACTCAAAAAGAATATCTACAAATATATAATAATATTGTATATATAAATGTACATAGATAACAATATTAATATATACATATGATATGCATTACATACATACGTGTATGTTTAAAAAACGGATAAAATTCAAAATCTATTTATGAAGCATATTAAATGCGTAAAAATTTTCAAAAAAAAAAAATAAATAAGTGTGCATATATACATATATGCACATATTCAACAGCACTAGATTATTATATATAAATATTTTCCAGGCTTATTTTTAGGATAAAAGTAAATAAGGAATTTTCTTTTGTTATACAATATGTAAATATGTAGAGTTTTCACATTAAATTTCGAGTATAGGAGTGAAAAAAAAAATATGCTGTGATAAAACATGATTTGAATAAAAGATTTTTTAAGCTCATCCCTTCTTTTATACAACTTTTTTTTTTTTTAACAATATAGTCATGAACTTATTTTTCTAATAACGTGATAAAAAAAAAAACAGAAAAAAACACAAAAATAAAATATTTTGTATTTTTACGTGTATTTAAATATGCATACACATGTACATAAAAAAAAGGACAATTATCTACATTTTTACATACATACATTCATATATATGCACATAATGTGTAAATATCTAAAATAATTTTTATGCTTCGCAAATTTACAATTGCTAATATAATTTACATACATTCATTCCTTCATATTATTTGCCACCCACTAAATTCTACAGTTCATGCATGTAAATATACACGTTATACACAGCTATGCATACATATATATATAAACACTCATACTTATAATGTAATTATCCACATTACGATTAAGTGGTATATATAGGAAATAAAAAAATGGAAAGAAAAAATTATGCTAACATTTCTAATTTCACAAAATTAAATTTCACCAATTACGCAAACTTTTCAATTCTATACGCAAATTTTTTCCAAATAATTTTAATTTTTTTTTTTTATAAATTTCAGATATATTGTAGACCATATTGCAGAGCTCCTTTTTATATTTTGGTCTGTCTGTATATTATTATTTATGTTTGTATATAAAATGTTTAATAATACGTGGGTGAATTATGTGAGAACATATCAAACTTTAAAAAATATTATATAAAAATAATTATATAAAATTAGCAGAAATATTACAAAAAAATCTTAAATTCACATACGTATGTATGAAGGTATATGTAGAAATTTATTACTGATTTATTAAATATAAGCTTTGGGTAATCTTTGTAAGATATTGGTAAAAATATAATAGACTTTTAAAAGAAATAAATTTATTCTTGGTTTTAAAAATAAAATTTCAAACCTTCAACACTTCAGTTTTAAACCTTCTACACTTAATTTTTGAAACAATATAAAAATTCCTGCTCGAAATTTCTTAATAATGTTCTTAATTGTAAAATAAATTCCTGCAATTTTATGAAAAATACAATTTTTGCCAGCCAGGAATTACTACGTTAAATATTATATTATGCAGTATGAAATGTGCTGCACTTTAGTATTATTTAAGAATTCTATTTTTGAGAACTTGGCCTGGAAAAGTAATTTTATAAAATATTCGTTTATCGAATTAAGTTTTCAAAATTTTAGAATGAAAATATTATAATAAAATTTTGATCTCTAAATATGCTTCTGAAAAAAGTAATATAATCGTCAACATTAATTCATTATTATTGCTGCTTCAAAAGAGAATAATTTTCAAATGATTCGAGATGGTAATTTTGAAATGGTTCTTAAAATCAATTCGGTTTAGAATTCATGCTTAATATGCACTAAAGTAAAAATTAAATTTTTATTAATTTTTTTTGATATATATATGTATGCAACTATTTCGATTAGAAAATGCTATAATCACAAATTAAAATGCTATAAGCAAATTATTGCAAATAATACGTGCATTTTCTAAATCTAAAATTATTCCTTTTGTCTACCGCTGATTATAAAACTAATTTTAACGTTGTAATTAATTGACGATGTGATTGTTTACATGTACAGTATGATTGTTTACTTAAACTACAATATTGTAATTAAATATTCAGACAGCAAACCCCTACTTTAAAATTACAGCATAATGAAATAAGTCTCTTTCTGTGTGTTTCAATAGTAGATTGTATGTAGCAATCAATGTAAACAAAACAAATACTTAGTAATCATGTGAATTACAGTATAAAGCAATGTAGAGAACATTTCGTCGGCAATTTCTTCATGCCTCTGTAGCTCAGTTGGTAGAGCGTCCGCCTAGAAAGCGGTAGGTTACTGGTTCGAGTCCAGTTCGAGGAGAAAAATTTTTTAATTAATTTTTCTGCCTTTAACTCGTTCCTTTGATTACGTCATCCATCTGTTCTGCAGTTGCATGAAGAGATTTCCATTAAGTTAAAGTCTCTTTCCAATTCAACAAAGTACTAATTTTAAGATTTTTAGCTATGCTTTTCAGTTAAACTTCCTATATCTTGTTATAACATAAGTATTACATTTTTATTTAATATGCCAAAATTAATCAATTCAACTAAATCATAAATAGAACATAACTATGATAATGTAGTGTTATAGTATCTAGTTTTACATATAATGTATAATTAAAAAAACATTTTGTTTATAATATTATAATTTTATATAATTAAATTATTATATAATTTATATTTTGAGATAATATTAACAATTTAATTTTAAATAAAAATCTTTTCTATATTAATTACATAAAAAGCATTTAAAACAATTTTTTATAATTATTTTTTAAAAAAAAAAAAATATTTCCTAAATTTTACATTGTATCGTACCATGTTGACATTCTTCCTTCTTCATTACTATTATCAGATAATGGTCGAATTGTTTGACAAGGTGTCATACTTTCAATACCACTATCATTACTAATTCTATATGCACTTTGAAAATCGTCACAATTAAATTGCCTAAAAATAACACTTCCACTGCTACTTGTGCTATTATGTGTTTGTAATAATCTTTTTTCTTCAGCACGTTTTGCTTCTTCATTTAATACTGCTTCAAGTATTGGTTGTATTAATTTTATCCACAATTCTATAATACATGGTTCTGCTTCAAAATCACATTCTTGTTTTTTTCTTTTATCATAATATAAAGTAAATTTTGTTGGTTTTGAATTTGGTAAAAAACCAAGTTTTTGCATCGGATAATGTCCACGATATAATAAACGTTTCTCTTTAATTTCTGTATATATTATACATTTTTCAAAAAAGAAACCCTTAGCTGGATATAATTTTCGTATACTATAATCATATATTTTAAAATCATCGGCCTTTAAAAAACGTCCTTGATGGTAAATATTAAGCTAAAAAATAAGAATTTTTATTATTTAATTAATAAGTTTAAAAATTTTATTATGTAAACATGAATAGTTAAATTTTCGACCTACATCAAAGCAATCTTCAATATCATTAACTGCTTCTGATTCATTTACAACTGTTATAAAATCTCGTAATCTTTTTTCTAATTTACAACATGCTGCAATTGATGTCTTATAACTAATATCACCAAATTGTGTCTAAAATTATTATAAATAAAAAACCAAAATTAATAAAAAAATTTTCTGAGTGTACACCGTTGGTCTTACTTTATAAAATTCTTGCAATGGTAAAGGATATCTTTGTAATCGTTGTATAGGTTTAATTAAAAAACTATTGATTCCTAATCTATCTTCAATTTCTGTTTGTAATTCCTAAAAATCAAATAAAAATTAATTAAATAATTATATTCTTAGTTTTTATTTTATGGATTTTTATTTACCTTAAAATAATCTTGATATTTTTCTAACAGCCTTATAGAATTTCTTTTATTTATCACAAATATAACATATGGATAAAACTCGTTTTCCTAAAATAAAATTTAATTTAAATACTCGTTATTATTATGAAATTTTAAATAAATAATAATTATACTTCAATCAAATTTGTAAAAGCGTTAAACATAGCAACCAGATCATTTGAATTGGTCTTAAACATTGGTAAAATAAATGTTTCATGAAATTCTAAAATTTCTTCTATATTTCCTAATAAATCATATCGTTTGCCTTTCAGACCATCTGGTAAATCTTCTCTTGTAAAAATTCCACCATAATTTTTTATTCCTTCTCGTAAACTTTCAACATATTTTTCTTCAGTTTTAATTAATTCTTCAACCATAGGTAAAATACCTTTTGTACCATATTTGAATTCATCTTGTATTTCATTTTGTTTTGATAATGCTGACGATATTTGATCAGTACTTTCTGTTCTGTTTACGCTGTTTGTGGAAAAAAAATTAAAATATTAAATTAATATTTATTTTAAATATTTTAAATAATAACAAATAACTTAATTTAGTATATGTTTGCATGTATGAGTACATACATAATGTTTCTAATAAGTATGAAGTCAGAGGGCTACCAAAAAACAAAATTTATAAAATTTTTTTTGTATTTTATATGACATTTAAAATATTAAAGTCCAAATATAATTAAATTTCAAAAAAAAAATTTTAATTTTTTAATAATAAACTTTTCCTATGAGAATTTTAATTTTCAAACTTAAAATGTTTCACCAATTTAATTATCTACGTGTACCAAATATAAATTATAAAATATAAAACAACAACAGCTTATTACAGAAAGTTTGTTTGTCGACGGCCTTGAGAAATATCACTTTGATAATTAAATTTATTCCATTTAGAGATGATTAATTAGTAGTAGACTCTCAAAAGCTCTACACAATACATTATTATTTTCTGTGTACTACTCAATGCTATCGTTTTTGCTACGATTTAATATTTCTACTACATTTTAACATTGTTGTATAAACTTGTTGTATAAAAATTTTTCTGAAAACGAACTGTTGTTTATTATATTTTGATCTCTTGTATTATTGTACTAAACTATTATACATATCAAAATATCAATCTACTACACATGTATATTTTAAATGACATTTTATTATCATTATGATTTCACGCTAATTATTTCAAAATATAGGGCGACCTGGTTTTTTTTATCTACTATTATCTGTTTTATACGCAGTAATGGCAGTAAAAGGTTTGCTTGGTAGCAAATAAACCGCAGACTTAATGGGAAACTATCAAAGAAGCTAATTGATATAAATGTATATAAAATGTAAACTACTATATATTACAATATATATATTTTCTTATTACCTAGACATTCTTAGAATTATTAATTAATTATAAGAAGAATAATTGTTATAGTAACATTCAGTTTTATCTGTTGTAGAAAAATCAAATCTACTGCAATTTCAATATTCTCATCACTGCAACACAATATTATAAAACGATAGCACTGGCACTATTACTATACCTACCCTACATACATAAATGCATAATATATAGATATATAAAAAATGAGAATTTCTCTTAATTTAGAGATTATAAAATTTTTATATAGAATAAAATTATAATTAAATTAAATTATTATTGGGTCTTATTGTTTCAATTATCCTCTAATACCGAATAATTTTTAATTTAATTATAATTTCACTATATTGTAATACGTATAATATAAATATAATGTAAGTATCTGAAAGTACTTATTTTATTCATATGAAGATAAATATAATTTGACTTTGTAAGAAAGATCACATGTTTTAGAACTGTGCAACAAGTTTATACAACAAATAATCTGATTTATAGTGAGTATATTAAAGCTAAACTTAAAGTTTTCACTTTATTCAAATTCTATAACCTTGAGATACTCGTATATGATGTCATAAGGCTGACATAATGTCGCAATGACCTTAAATTTATAATAATAATAATAATAATGTTGTCAACAAGATCGCAAACACCGTCTGATTCTCTTGAGATAAAAAAGATGTTGTTTTTGCACTAAATTTTACATTTATTATGAATTTATTTTTATGAGCTTCTCACGAATCTGAATTTTGTTTAAAAAAGCAATACTCACAAATCTTGAAATTTAAAATAGGTTCGTATGAAACATTTTCACCCTATCAAGCAACTGATTCGCTAAGTAAAAATTATGTATTTGTGTATATGTAGATATATTAGTATTTCGAAATATCGTTCGAGGAAAATCAAATTTTTACCGAATCAGTAAATTTTGTTGTGAATATCAAAGCTCGGAAACAGAACTTTCAATAATGAACAATTTTACACATTTGATTATATCTCAGGAACTAATTGATTAAATTTTTTTGAAGTTTAATGTTTAATTTCTGGTTAATAACGCAATTAACTCGGAAACTTTGCAGGCAAATCAGAACACGGAAAATAAACCTCTATACTAACAACCAAATTTACATTTTTCTAGGCATATTAATTCGAGTCTATTTTGTAGTTTAAAATAAATATTTAAAGAAAATTTTTATAATTTTGTGTAATAATTTAAAAATGCGGTCAGTTATGTGTTAGCCACATTACATTTTTTCTTATATGGGAAACAAAGGCAAACTTTTTAAGTTCAGCTTTATTTATGAAATTTTCATTAATGAAATATGTAGTAGCACTTAAACTATATCTAAAATTTTAGTTTTTTTTTCTTCAACCTTGTAACACAACACTTAAACTATATCTAAAACAATAAAATATTGAATTATTTTAATTAAAATGTCCTGCTATACTTTTAATAATAGAATCTTTATTTTAATAATATTTTTAAAATTAATTAAAAGGTACTTAATAAAAGTTTCTTTTATACACTCATATTGCGCAATATATGTACACTGTTGCAATCTTTTACTTTAATAATAGATTTAAAAAATAGAGAATTCTAATTCAACAATAAATAACTTACAATTGATCTGATTTGACATCTCTGTCTGAAAGATTGCCGGACGGTTCTTCTGGATGATACGAATGTGATTTCGCTAGAATACACTTGAGGTTCTTTGCTTCACAAATATCTGTTTTTCTTCGATTATTATATCTATAATTGAAAAAATATTCTTAATTAATATAAAGAATCAATTGTGCTTAATTACTTAGGATACAATTAAGAGAATGTTATTATTATATTATAAAGTTATATAACTGAGAAAATAATGAGGGCTGCCAGAAATAAAATTAGTTAATAAGAAAGTTTAGTAAACAAAATCAAAACAAGATTAGGCTTGTATTGCTAATTAATTTCGTAAAGGCATAAAACCATTTTGCTCAGAAAGAAGACAATTATTGCAATATTCTTGCTTTTATAAAATTTGATGGAATATGTTATTTTGCAAACTATAAGAGATTAATAATTTAGGGGAGAGAGGTAGTAGAAAGAAATTTTATACTTGTTAAATAACCTTGTCTATTAACTATTAAAATTTTAGGTTGGGGTAGAATTGTCATTTACCGAAATATGTTCCGAAATAAGCGAAACATCAGTACCAGTACTAATTTGGAAAAGTCAATTCATCACCCTTTGGCATATTTCCACAATAAAAAACGCATTTGCACATTTTAACACTAGTCTCTACTCCAAACACAGTAGTCTGTCAAAAACTTGATTTTTCACGTACTTAAAGTGCTAAATCTAAACTCTGACCAGTGATTCATATATAATAATTTTGATAGTAAGGATTTTATTAAGAGATAAGATCGACATTTTCATTTTACCTTCATTAAAAGGTAAAAATTTTAATTAAAAATATTTTCAAAAATTTTAAATGTACAAAAATACTTAATGCCCAAATTTTACTTTATTCACTTCACAATTCACTTATTTTCACGCCCTTGCATATAGTTACTCAAATTGAAATGCATATAGTGATTTTTGTGTTATTAATATCGCACCTCAACAAAGAAACAACAAAATTAACAAAAGATGCATTCGAAAACGTCAAATAGCACATCTGTGCAAATTATTCAATTAGCATAATGCAAGTTAATTACTCTAAAAATAGCACAAATTAACAATCCACTGCACTGCCAACTGCTATTCTGTAAAAATACAATGAAATCTTTATTCTAGAAAATTAAAATTTAAAATTAAAAATCAATAGATAAAGCCTATATTACATTGAATAAAGTTCAATAACTTCCCTACGTCACCATTTATAAACCAAGTTAATATTAACGTTTTAAAAAAATTTTTAATAATCTATTGGAAAAGTATTTTCTTTTGCCTATAACTTTTTACAATTAAATTAATTTTATTACACAAATTCATTTTATGAACTTCATAATTATATTATATTAAATGGGAAATTAAAATAGAAATTGCTCACAATCATGTTATATGGAATACGTGATTCAGAATACCTCTGATAAAATTAATTTTTACTTAAAAATAAGCAAAACTTAAACTTCAGTAATAAATAGACAAAGAGTCAAAATCAACTATGCGGTAACATACCCGTTCAACTTGTATAAATAAATTTAACATTAACGAAATTGTTGTATGTATTCAAAATACACAATTACGTAGTTTGCTTTGATTTGTCGTTACTGTACATACTACTGTACGAATTACATACTCGTACTGTACAAAAACACAACCTTAATAAATATTTTAATTGAAATTTTTACAATGTACAGCATATTTTTTCAATTTTATGCTCTTCTTAAAACGTTTACTTTATTTTTTTTTTAATAAAAAAATCACTTTCTATTATGTTTATTTTAGTTCCTTAATTTAGTTGAAAACATATAAAAAAGAATGCATGAAAAAAATAATAATAATTAAAGTTAATTAAATGTGTAAAGAAAAATCACATAAAAATTGAAAGTGCAATATGAAAAGTGGAATTTTTTTTGCCATATAACCATTAATTGAACATCCGTATCTAAGGTAGCGTTTTACAAAAAATATGATTAATAAAGTTGGGTCAAACGAATGGCTTGTAGACTATTACTTCAACAAGTGAAAATGCTGCTTTTAATAACAATCTACTTACATTTAAACCAGTTTCATTCGCATACAAAAATATTTCCAATGATTGCATACATTTTGGATTAAAATTTAAAGAGTCGTTAACAAAATGGCGAATTTAAGGGTTAATTGCATGAATTAAAATAAATAATTATGTTTTTTGATGGCATGGCAATTATCTATGCATTTATAGAAATTTGGAAAAGCTTTCAGTTTCGGAAATATGTGGTTCCAAAAATTTGAATTTTAAAAAATTCAACAGGTGAAAATGCCAGTAGTTTAGACTCATATCTTATAGACTTATATCTCATTGTCTAAAAGAAAAACATATCAAAAGCTTGAAAAAAAACCGGATTTTAAATTACGATAAATTTTTATGATTTGAGGGGCTATAACTTTTAGAAAGAGGCATAACAAAAAATGTTCTCCTACGGAAAAAAAGTTTCTAGTAGAAATCTATTTATTTGTAAAATCTATTTATTTCAGTTGTCTATCTTAAAAGTTGCAGAAGTTTTCTAAACAGACACACGGACTGACGAATGGACAGACGGACGGCCGGACAAAGTGAAACTAATAAACAGTATTTTTCAAAATATATTTTAGAAAAGTGTTAAAAAGTGGATAATTTTGAAAATGTGATTAAAATTTGTTTTATTAAATAAGTGTCTATTGTAATTTTATTGATAAAATTTCAAAAATAAATGTAGATTAAACAAATTTTAAAATTTATTTCTTTTGATTAAATTTTTTAATCAATCTACTTGCAAATTGTTGACGCCGCAAAAAAAAGTGAGAAATTCTAATGTTCTTATAATTAGAGGATTTCGCTTTATTGTTTCATAATTATAAGAACATTAGATTGACTATAACCTACGACTATAAAAGAAATTGAGCAATTATCTTAATTAATTAAAAAATTTAAAATTTTTAGTTGAAAATTAAAATTATAAATTAAATGCTATAACTATTCTTTATTTTTTCACCGCTTCAATTATTAATCCAATGTTCCTTAACCCTTTAATTTATTAACCCCCGCAATTATTACTGAATACAATTACGACAAATCACAACATGAACTCAAAAAAAATTTAGGGAAACCAAATTCGAAAAGTAAAAGTTTTCAATATTTTTCATTCAGTTTCTGTTAAATATCAATGAAGTTTAAAGAACACCGTACTCGTTATTACTAACATTAATATGAAATTTTACCTGAAAAATATAACATTTGGAAAGAACTTTGAAATAGATACTACTCCCAATACTTTTAAGAATTTGGTTATTACAACGCAATTGCGAAGTAAAATTAACCTTTATTTATTTAAATAATTATTAAATATCATAATTTGGCAAAATTATTTTGACAAAAGTTCTTATAGCTGCACACATACAATATATGAATATATATTTATACACATATACATATTAGCTATGTGTACATTATTACATATGTACAATGTATTTTGTTTTAATATCAAAAAAAAAAAATTCAATGTCGTAATTTTAGAACAAATTCAGATTACTTTAAAAAATAATCATAAAAAAATAATATTAGTCATTTAAAAAAGAAAAAATCAGAAATGCTCAACATTTTGTTTACAAACGATATTTTCTTTAAAGATCTCAACTTGCATGAAGCGCAACTTTTATTGCATAACATGCGCAATTTATGTTTTAGTATTTCTTTTGTTGTGATTCGTTTTACAACAAATGAAAATTATAAGAAAATTATTATGTACGAGGCATGTAAAACTAAAATCATATATCATGTCTTATAATATCAAGTGTTTATACATATCTAAGTGTACATACATAAATCAAATGAGTAAAATATTTCTTTAAAACAATCGTGATCTACACATTTAAAAATTTTAATATTTCAAATCTGTCATTAAAAAAGCTTTTTGTATTTACAAATTTTTTTCAACCCTATTTATAAATAAATTAATTTCATACATAACTATGTATGTATATTTATTATATATATTATAATATAATGTATATACATACGTATAAATATGAAATATCTATATTTATATAATAAAGCATTTAGTGTCGATCTGCCTACGTAAATTTTGAAATTTCTCTACCTTTTGAGTAAAAATAATAAAATAAAAATTTTCTAAAACTTAAATTTCATTTTCTTTTTCTATAATAAATTTTTTTATATCATTTCTTTGCTTCTAAATTTTAATGTGATTAAAATGTAAGCAATTATATACATATTTTTACAATAGAGCGCAAAATCAATTCAATATTCTGCGAATCATAACTATTATTGACTCTTATCTTATCAGTATAACAATATCAATATAGGTAAAACAATAAATTTCGTGAACAATTATAATGTTCTTTTAATGTTTGATAAATTGAAAAAAAAAAAAAAAAGATAATAGAAATACCACAATTTATACTTTGTATTTCATATTGCTATAATACAGTTTCAGAATCGAAGAGTTTCAATTCTACTGCATTACGGAACATAAGATTACTTACCTCATTATTCCTTTACGTTTTTTAATTATTGGTTTTCCATCTTTAGTTTTAACATTTTCATTATTATCTAATTTTAAATCTTCATCTATCTCATTATCATTCTTTGTAGAAATGTGACCAAAATCATCGATAACAATCATTGGAACAACTTCTATACTATTTTTATGTAATAATGATAATTCTGGACTTTTCGAAACAATCGGTTTACTTTTAGTTAATATTTTTGATTTATTCTTTTTATTTTTATCATTATTTTTTTTATCATCTTTTAAATTATCCCTTTTTGAACCGGATGTTTCTCTTAATTCAACAATTTCTTCACAATCTGAAATTTCATCAACTTCATCTTCAGATGGTAAATCATCACTTAAAAGTTTTAATTTATCATCATAATTATTATGATTGCTATCATTTTTTTCATTATTATTATTTTTATCATTAGTATTATTTTTATTACTACTTAAATAAGTCCATGAAGATGGTATATTAAAACCATTATAACATGTTTTACGTTTCGGGGTAAAAAAATTTTTTGAAATTTTCCCATTTGGTTTACTTGGACTTTTTGATGGAATTTCGATGTTAGATTCAATTGTTTCGGTTTCGTTAGATGTATTTTCTGATGAAAACATTTCAAATTTTAAACGTAATTTCTGTACATAATTAGTTTTTGTAACACCAACATGAATTTCATTACTCCAATAATTACTATGTGGTGTCTCTGAAACATCATCTATAATAATTTCAGTATTATCGGTTGGTGATACTATTGTACTTTGAAGTTCATTATTATTTTTTTTTACATTATCAACATTTTTAAGTTTCTGGTGTTGTGCTGCTATCTTTTGTGATTTTAATGAATTATTTTTACTACGTTTTCTTTCCGGTACTTTTGGTTTTTTATCTTTTATATTTGTATTATGTATTTTTATTGAATCCAAATCGCCTGCAATCGTACTATTAACTGAATAATCATATTGAAATGATGAACTTGAATTTGATTCATTTAATATACTAGTAGTTGAAGAAGATGATGTTAAAACCATTGATGTACCAGATGAATTTGATAGAGAAGAATCATCAGGTGATTGTGATTTTCTAAAAATATTTTTAACACTACCATTATTATTATTGTTATTTGTTGATTGACTAGCTTCTGTAAGACTGTTTTTTTTTAATAAATCGCAAATATTATCATCATTATTGCTGGTTTCTTGTTCAATTAAAAGTGTTTTATCAGAAGTTGTACTATCTAAATAAAAAACTGATGTTGAACGTCGTGTCTTTTTAGAGCTATTACGAAATTCTTTGCGTATAAGTAAATTTTGAGCCATTCTTTTTCATTTAATTAATTGTTTTCATTTAGTATATAACAGTTTGTTAATATTTAATATAATAATTTATATAATAAAATCACTTTATATTTATATTTTTATTTTAGTATTTTATGTACATATTGTTGATTTATTATATTAAAATTTTATTTTTTTTTTATATTTAAAAAACTTTACGAAATTTATAACAATTTATTTACGAAAAAGTTAAAAAGCATTTGATGTGACATTAATATAAATATTATTTTTAGATTTTAGATGTACATATTTATATTAATGTACAGAAGTACATACATATATGTTTATATATACACATATATGCTATATTTATATTTCATTAAAAACCACTTTGTATATATGTATGTATACAGTAGCTATACTTGATATTTAACTTTTATTTCTTTCTTTCAGCTTTTCTTACACCAACGATCTATATGTACATGAAACGATCATACCGTAAAAACAAAGAAAAGATAATTTTTTTTTTATTTTCTTAACTAAAAAAAAAGAAAATTTTTTTATTTTTGGTATGAAATTGAATAGGAATTTTAAAATTTATTAAAATTTATCACAGTTGTATTAAAAAATTTTTAAATTTAATTTTATTAAATTATTTAAACAAATTAGATCTTATTTAACTCGATCTCATAACTTTGACAAATAAACTTTAATATTTTTGACAATAAATTATTATTATATTTTTTTTTATTAATTTTTTCTTATTATTTTTCTTGTAGTATACAATTGTATATATAAATATACAATATTTTAGCTTTTTTTTTCAAATATATTTTTACGGTAATTAATGCGAGACAATACAGCAAAAATACACCAACATCGCGCTATGTTATATGGCTTTAGACTAAAAAAAACAAAAAATAAAAAAATTGTTTGACTGCAGAAACGAAAAAAAAAAGAAAAAATTCAGAAAAATGAGCGGATTTGGCTGTAATTTGAGTTTCATTCAATCCAAAGACAAATACCAATACTACGCAACTTTTATCTATTTTCATTTTTATTCTCTTTATTAATATTTTTATGGCAACAGCTGTTTATAGTCTTGTACTATTATTAAATAAAATTAAAAAAAAATATATGAGCTTTATTTGTATTGAAAAATTATTTGTATTTTGTTTTACTGTTGTGATAATTATTATAATTAAAGGTAAAGAAAATTTAATAATAAAAGTAATGAGAATTCTTGTACATACATAAACATAATATGTATACACAAAGTTGTCTATTAAAGTTAACGATAGTAATAACGTTTACTACCTAAACAACTTACTATCTTATATTTATATGTACACATAAATAAGAGCGAAAATATTTACGTTAATATTAGTGTAGACTACTTTTAACTATGGCTTATAAAAGTTTTTTTTCAAGTTTTCATCTAATTTTTTTTCTATTAGATTTTTATAAAGACTAATTCTCTTAATAATTTAGTTATATTCTGTAATTCGTAGTAATTTTTTCAAATATTAAAAAATTTTAAATAAATTATGTATAATTATTAAAACTGATTGAAAGTTTGTCAACTAGATTCCCCATAACTACTATTTTAATATTGTAATTAATTTTTAGGTACTATTTTAATGTTGGCAAAAAACAATACTCGATAAGCTTTTATTTTCATAATTACCTTATTAATTATTACGTATTGTGAATTCATCAAGAAATTTTGCAAATTTGACAGTTTAATTTTACGTATAGCGAATTTCCCAAATTTCTTTACGAATTCGAGAAAATATTTACCGAATTAAAGAATGTGACAGGTACACGAATTTGTCAAAAGCATGGGAAATACTCCGTTATAAAATATAGTTTACTTTAAAAAGAGGGTGTTATAATACCAATTCCAACGAATTCGGTAGCTCAAGACTATTCGATATAATTTAATAATAAATTAATTGTCAATTAATTATTAAATTTGTTTGCTGGAAAATATTTCGTGTAAGCCTTATGCATATACTCTCAAATACTGATTTGTTCAAAGTACAAATTTTAAAGCTTCAATTTTATATATAAAACTTTTTTTTAACCTTCTTTGCCTTCAATTCTTTAAAATAAATAGTTTCATTCAACTTGCTATTAAATAGAAAATTAATAAGAAGGCGATATTTTCGATGTTTTCGAAAATTATTATGACATTTCTTAAATAACCAATCTAAACTTACGAGTAACTGTTATTCTAGTAAAACTTTGAAAATTATTTCCTCAATATTTCTCCTAAATATATGCAACATGATTTTAAATTATATTATTGACTTCTTATTTCGGATTTTCAAGTTGTAATTTTTTTTGGTTTAATTGTAATTTGAATATTTAATTTTTTTGAAAAAATAAACTACAAATATTATCACGTATATTTATTAGTGGTAAGCCTTTTATTTAAAATTCATTAATGCAAAATCTTACTTTTAATAAAATTTTATTGTATACACACTTATATATAAGTGTACATACATGTATGCATAATATTAGTCTTAAATCTGTAACGGACATCTTCGGAATGTCAAAATTATTTATGAGTACAAATAAAAAATAATGCTTATTCAAAAAAATTGTGTAAAACATAACTTTTTAGTAATCAAATATCATTATTTATAAATTAATGTTATTAAATTAATCACTCGTCATCATAATAATTTATTTTATAATTAGTATTAGTTACTATAATAATCAAAATTACAATTTACATACAAAATTTAGAAATTAAAGGTGATGACAATGCACTTTGTTAAATTTTAACAAACTTGTTATATTTTCCATTATTATTATTTCAGAGTAACATTAAAAGAAATTGCAAATTTAATAAATTTAAATATAAAAATCATTTTAAAACTAAACCATTCAAAATATTATAAGATTTCCTAAATTCAACTATAAGTACGAGTAACCTGTATAAAAATATAAAAAAAATTTTATTTATTTTCTCTAATAATAATAATTATTATTATTAAAGCTTATTTTACTCCTGTATTTAAGCTAAGAAGCTTTTTCTCAATTAAAACAAGATAATTACATTTACAAATGAAAATATTGTTATACAAAAAGATGAACTTAATATTCTCATTACCCATTCATTATAAATAAATTTTTTAATGTACTTTTTTATACACAAACATACAATGTATATGATAATAAATTAATTCAACAGTTATACATACATTTATATAAAATTGTCAACAAACAGGTTTTAATTTTGTTTTTATTTATAAACAATATTATAAGATTTTTTTAATCATATTTTACCTACTTATAAAATTTTATTGCAAATTTTTTTTACTTTATAATTTTAAGTAGATACGGTACAAAAGTAGTTTTGACTAGATATTAATTTCAAATTTATTGAAGTACCTACACATACATATATTTTGGGTAAAATTTATAAATGCATATACGAGTACATACATGAATTATATTCAGATGTTATCAAAAATATAAAATTCATACTATTTTATGTACATACATATAGTTATGTTATAAAAATATCATTAAAACTTTTATAAAGCTTTCTCTATAAAAAAAAATCTTGATAGAGAAATCATTTTGCTTTACGCTAACAACAAATCTTAAAATTTTAGCCAAAACACAAACCATTTCATTTATTGAAGACATTTTATCATGGTAAACATTTTAAGTTTAATTTCTGTTTTAGAATTTTGTTCATATTTTATCAATTGATGGAAATATATTTCATGAGATTTACATTTCTGTTTAGAAAAAACTATTAATGCAATCTATTCTTTTTTAATTGTATTTCAAAGATTTTTCAAAATCCAAGACAAAACATCAAAAATGAAACGGAAAACTCAACAGAAATACATGAAACTGAAACGGAAATTAAAATATTTAAAAAAAATAAACGAAATATTTGCTATAAGGGCTTTTTTATATAAATTCCATAGTCATGCTAATACTAAGGTTTTACTTACCAAGGCTAAAATAATTTCTAGCAAATACCATATATTCAGTAATGTGTAAGACCTTGTTAATATATTTATGCATATAATGTTGCTGATTTTTCATGGAAAACATTTTTAGTTTTTGACGCTATTTTTTCTACTCATTTTATTTAATATTCTGCAACTTAGCATTACAGTGAGCAAAATATATGTTTCTAAAGTTATTTTCTGTAACTTAACAATAAATAATTCCAATAAAATGCATTTGTTCAAATTTCATCAATTTCTACGTATAATTAATTCAAGTATATTCTTAAGCGTGTTTTAGCCATGTTTGGAAGCATATATTTGTGTGAATAATTGTTTTCGATATTAAAAAATAATAAAACGGTTGAAAGATCAAGATTTACAGATCAACATGTTCAATCAATACCATCAAACAATTGCCAATTAAATTGAACCAAACTTTGAAAATTTGATAACAGAAACACGTTCCTAAATCTCTTCAAAAAAATGATTTTATATTTGTTTTTTGTTTGACTGTATTTTTTATATTACTTTTTATGCGCGGTCCGAAGCAATCTGCGAAAAACACTAAAATTATGATAAATAAGTTTGACACGCCTGTTTTATATTATTACACAGTGGGTAACACTATCTAGTACACACTAAACATGTGTTATTTTGTATGTGCAATATACATGCTTTTTTTTTATGTGTAAATTTTTATGTTTACTTCTATATTGCACTAATACAAGCTTTAAACCCTATTCAGCCTATAGGTATGCACTAATTAATTCTGCTTAAACATATACATATATTTTTGAACTCAATTTGAAAACCGTATTACATACTTACATTCAAGACTATCCTAGAACTATAAAACTTTTTAAGAATATGACCATCGGTCGAAAATGAATAATTTATCTGAAATTAAATACCTTTATTTAAGTAATGGTCATAATGCTAACACTAACTCCGCACAGAGCAGAGTATATCAGTTAGTTTTCAGGCAAAAAAATTAATTCAGTGTAAATTTGGAAAATAATTTTCATATTTAACTATACTCGTAATTAATAAAGAATAGCACAAGTTTTCATTATAAATTTGATCATAGTTAAAAGAATCATAATTTAGGTTTCGTTAAAATAAAATTATTTTGAATACATATAAAGCATCAATAGTTTTATTAAATATACATTTTCAAAAATTATATACACTTTAGTACATTACAACATTATATATTATATATTAATTACGTTTTATTCTCACCTTCGTTTATCAAATTTTGACCCATTTTAATTTTTTAATTTACATTTTAAGTATTTACAATTCAGTTTTGCGAAGAATAATTTTATATTTTAATTGTGTTTAAATTTTATTAACATATTTTTCGAAACATCCAGCTTAATGATCCAACTATTAAATATTAATATATGAATTTAAATTAAAAAAAAAAAAAAAACATTGAAAAAATATAAAAATTTAGCTCAGTTCGCATTTAGATAAAAAGATTAAAATTATCATCTATATGTATGTAACAATTTTGAATATTGTATTTAATATAAAAAAAATTTAAAATTAATTTTATTATTTTTTTTTTGTTATTCATTTTAAACTTCAGTTTGTGGTCTCTTTTCAATCCAAGCTTTGATGGATTCAATAGCATTAATGGATTCTACAAGTGCTTTCAATGATGGATAATTTTCAAGTAGATCACGTTTTACCATATAATTCATGTATTCCAAAATGCCAGCAAAGTAGATGTCTGCCCAAGTCAACTGCAATATACAATTAAAATAAAATAATTTAAAAATATTATTTACAAAAATATTTTTCACACTGAGAAAAAACATCATGCTTTTTTAAATAATTTTTTTAACTCAGATTTTTGTTAAATTCATAAATTTAAAAAAAAAAATTCTTAAAAATTATTTCTGAAAAAACTCAATGAAAATCAAGTTGACAATTGTTGTTAGTTAATTCAAACTCAATACCAATATACAAATATGTTTGAAAGTATGTACATAATTTGATTTGTACACAATTCGGTTACAAATTATTAATCAATGAACACCAGTGATAAATTCACTTAATTTTTACACATTTCTCAAAAAATAAGTTTTTTTTAACCTTATTTAATGCTAGATGACCATTATTGTCTTTAACAGTTTGTTCCAATTTTTCCAAGTAAAAGGGAATGACTTCATTGTTCAATGTAACCAATTTTTTTTCTTTGATTTCATCCTCTGGTTCATATGAAACGACTGCAATTTCTAATTTTATATAAAAATTTTTTTTATTAATAAAATATTATTATTATTGATGCTAACAGTTTTCGGTACTTAAGCGGAAATCATTGATTGTGTCAACAACAATATCAATTTGTAAATCCTCCCAATGATTTGATCCACCCAAACCAACAGTTTTAGCTAAAAATCTTGCCATTGAAATACTTTGGTGAACACGTTTACCATCAACTTCTAATACTGGCATTTGACCCATAGGCATTGCTAAAATTAAAATTATTTAATATAAAAAAATAGATATAAAAAAATTAATTTTTTTTTTTAAGCCATACTTGGTTTTAATGCTGGCCATTCATCACGTGTTACCCTAACATCTTCATATTCTATTCCACCAAAAGCAAATAAATAACGTAAAGGTTCAGCTAAAGCTTTAACATTAAAATAGAATAATGTGTATGTATGTGGTAATTGGTCCCATGGTACTGGTGGTGGGGCTTCAGCTCCTTCAGCGCCAGCTTCACCTTCAGCTGGTGGTGCTGCTTCGCCTTCGGCTGGTGGTGCTGCGCCTTCAGCTGGTGGTGGTGCTTGATCGGCCATTTTATTTTGTTAACTATATGTGAGAAAAATTAAAAATATATGGGTAGATTTTTATATAATTTTCATTTCTTCTTAGAAAATATTCAAATTGTGAATATTAAAAGGTCGTACATCACATATTTACACATAAACATAAACTTTAATATAAATTACTATTGAAATTGTTTTAAAATACATATGCCGCTTATATTTTATAACAAATTAAGCTTATATAAAATTGTAATTTATGTATTTCTTAATTTTTGAATTTAATTTAATTTAATTGTTAAGACATACGCCAAAAATACTAAAATTATCTCGAAATTTTCAAAGTATTAAAAAATTTGTAATTCACTTCCTTGTTCAATTGCTCCAACAATTTTAAATTTATTTTCAATATTATATTTTTTAAATTGTTAAATTTTTAATGGAAAATTTAATTTCAACCAAAAATAATTTAAGATTTTTGAATAATAAATTAATGTATTTATTGAACTATGTGTAATTCGCAGTTCTGCGTAACTTTTATATACATACTTATACATTGTATATAGAAAGTGAATTTTACGATATTATATACATATATTATTTCAAGTCTACTAAAAGATTTCGACAAATACGAGCATAATATCCCTTTTCTTATTGACTTTTATTGTAATTGTAAATTTATATTCGTATACAAATACTTTTGTTATATAAAAAATTTTTTGGGTAAACTAGTTAAATATTATTTAATTTTTATTACTTAATAATAGAAACATAAAAGGATTAAAGTATAAAAGATGTTATTTAGATATGAAAAGAATGTATACACATAAAGTTATACATAAATATTACGTAATTTCTTAGTCTTGTTAATTGTAGGCAAATTAAAATATAACATCAAATCTTCTGTTAACTTCTACAAATATTTAAAACACTCAAGTCGAAATTGAGAATTTTTAATTCTAAAATTTAAATTTTTAAATTTAATATTTTCTTTTTTCGTTTCAAATAAACTTTAAATTTATTAATTATTATTTGCTTTAATTATTTTTGATTTTCCTTATTTTTATTCACTATTTCTCAAATTAATATTTATTAATATTTTTTTTATTTAATTTTGACATTCATTTTTCGTAGAATTAAAAAATGCAAAAACAAAAACTTTAAATAATTTTGAGAACAATTAATGAACATTTACCGTTAAATTAGTCCGTTTAGAGTCACCACCGAAAATCAAATGGTAGGTGCAATTAAAATTAATCAGAAAAAGTGTTTTTTTTTCTATTAAAATTCTATGATTTTTATTTTAAAATAATTTTTGATTGAAGTGTTTTTCAATGACATGTCAAATAAAATAAGAAAAAACAAAATAAATAAATTCTTTTCTAATTTTCTAAATTTAAATTGTCCTACTTAATTTTAATTTTTTTCTTTCTTTTTTTTCAAATTTGTAATCGAATGTGTAATTAACGCAATTATATTTATTGATTGTTTTTTTCTTTCTCTTGTTCTATTTTAATTTAATTTCTCAGAATGTTAATCATGAGAAAAACTCTAAATTACAATTAATTAAAAAAAAATAAAATTAGCCAAAAAATTGTGTTGTTTTCTTTTTAATCCTTTTCGTCATTTAAAATTAATTTTTATTTTTAGATTCTAAATTTCAATAGTCTTAGTTTTTATATACGTTTTTTAAGACCCTTATTAAGGTGATCGTATTCAATCGTTTAATTTACAAATAATAAATAAAATTTTATCACTATAAGACTAACATTCACAAAAACCGCGTGCAACACATATGATCGTGATTTACTGAGAGCTTTTTCTTTTTCATTTTTCCTCAATAAATCAATGATTTTTGAACTCTTATCTTATAGTGATCAATTAGAAAATCATATTAAATATTTACTATGTGTATATATATATAATTGTATTAAATTATAACATTAACCTATATATTGATGAACTAATTAAAATTAATAAAAAAAATAATGAATTTAAAGCTTAACTCTGTTTCTTCTTATTTATACAAAATATTATTTACAAAAAAGATATTTAAAAATTAAAATGGATAAAAATTTTAATTAATATTTTTAGAGACAAAAAGAACTTTATTTTATTACGTACCAGGATCAACACAGATTTATAACTAAACTGCTGAACGTATTGTAACAAACTACACCTGAATATTATATTTAATTAATCATATGACTTAGAAATAGAGAAAACGAAAATAATCTCTCGGAAAATTTTTGTGTATGCTAAGATTACAGTAAAATTTTTACATACATGAGTATATATACATATATATTATTATATTTTTATAAACTCTAAACCTTTATATTACTATATATTTTATAAAAGATTACGACATTCACACATACATATATGTATATACATACACATAAATTATATATATGCGAGTAGACCTTATTTTAAATCATCTACTAAAATGATATGAAACATTTTTAGATTTTTATTGTAAATTATTATATAAGTAGTTATTTGTAGCAGTAATTTAATTTAAACATATTTTAAATTAGGTTCATTTAAAGTAGAGTTGCCATTGATCCTCTTTTTTTTCATGGTTGGTCCTCTTTTTTTACCTCGCTACGAAAATTCGTACATATAGTTTTCTGTTTCAGTTCAGTCAAAATTTTATATTTATTTTGCATCGCTTTTGGTGATGGAAAAACATATACATATTTGTTTGTGACAGCATTATTAACATGCATTATTAACATATTCTACATACAACATTATGAAATTTCACTTCTATATGAATCAATTGAGCTGTTTTACATGCATACAACGTCATTTAGAAAACTTCGAATATATAGACTTTCTATAGAAACCTAAAATGTAGAAAGATCACTGGTTTTGAGTCCGGTTTGGGAGGAAATTTTTTTTAACCATTTCTGTCTTGACTCCGAATGTAGACTTTTTACAGAAAGCTAAACAGTAGAAAGGCCATTTTTGGGTTCGAGTCCGCACATAGTTAATGAATCTGTAATGAAAGTATCCTCCTTGATTTATTAAATTAGCTGATTTGTATTTTAGTTTATGATTAAAAATTGTGCTTCTGGCAACCCTAACTTAATCAATAAATTAAACTAAAAATTGAAAAAAAAAAAAATAAATAATTTATTCATACTTAAAATATATTTTGAATCATTGATTTTGTTTTGACATGTGCGCAAACTTGTACGTTGATGTAGAAGCATTTAAAATCTTAGAAATACATACAGAAAAATTTAAAATTATTTATTTAAAATTAAAATAAAATAGTGCCTATAAAAATCTTATTATTTTTTTAGAAATATCTAAGGAAAAATTTTATGATATATTTATCAGTTATCAATGACCAAATTAACGCTTATTTGGTTAACCATATCAACTGGAAGATAATTGATAATCTTAAATAAAAATTAAATTAACTATAGAATGAATATTTTCGGTACAATAAATTTGTTTGTAGAACAAGCAATAAAATTCCACGATAAAAGTAAACTTTAAACATAAATAATCTTAGACAATAATCTATAACTTTTATTGTAATTAAAATTTATTTAAATGAAGCACATGAACGTATAGAGTTAAGGAAAAGGAATTAAAGGTATTTCTATTAACTTTTAGTTTCAAATCTGAAAATGTACAACAAAATTCACCAAGAGTTAACAATTATCTTCAAAAATCTTCTCAGTTTTCGAACTGGCCTTTAAGGAAATCGTATTCTAATACTCGTATATGTATGTATTTTACATTCAAAAAACAAAATATCATCCTCGAATACAAGTGAGTAAATTTTAACAGATATAAAGCTTTAAGCTAAACTTATTGCAATGCCTTTGTGTCCAATATATTTGACATAAAATAAACAAAGAAATTTCTGAAAAACTGTAATGGTAATAACATGGCATAAAAATATCTGGTGTTATATCGTATTGGGTGAAGTTCAAGTAACAAAACAAACAAGTCACGCACTCACATTTATAGAACTGAAAATATACATTGAGCAGCATTCATTCTTTTTAACACAAAAAATTTTAAAGTTAAAAGGAATGCAAAAGACTTGTAATTTCTCTACTACACCAACATTTTCAAACTCTCCACTAGAAATACAGAGCCATAACTGGATACTAATTCTAAATTTTTAACTAAGGTAAATGTTTATATAAAATTTAAGGTGAATTTTATTTTTATGCTTCACTTAGTATACATATTAAGCAATACGTATAGAATTCTCTTCTGAATTAGTGGCATTTATTGGTAAACATTTCGTTTTAATTTCTCTAATCGATTACGTAAATGTACTTTCAATTTAATTATTGATTGTATTCAAACGACAAAACCAACAACAAAAATATTGTGCTCTCACCTCACGTCATCCTTTCGCTCTCTTGAATTTTTTATCAGATTTTAAAATTTATTTTATTTATTTGAAAAAGAAAGTAATAAATATGTATGATATTTAATTATTTAGTGTACTCTCAACTTTGAGACAATAAAGACTGGCTTTTGGTGAGACTTATGCTAGCGGATAATGTTAAATTTTAATGATGACGACTTTTCAAGAAATACGTAAGAAATTTGAAGATCTTTCAAAGACAGGTTCAAATGAAAACCTACATGATTTTGGTAAACAAACAGGTACATAAATAAAATTTTAATCAAATAATTTTTTCATAAGAATTATACATACATAAATAAATTGCCTAGAATTACTGTTATATTATTTTGAATTGCTTATCTTTTTTTCATTATTGTCGTTATCTAAAATACAAATGTCTTAAAACTCATATCTCCGATTTTCTCATATCTGTACAAAGAAAAAAAAAAGACAATTTTGTGTATACTTACACATACTTTAAAATAATTTGTGTTACTTAAATATAGTTATTAACAAGCAATATAAAAGTATGACAGCTCTAAATAATGATCAGGAACCTTTGGAAAAAACATTGGATACCAATAGAGACGTATATAACAAAATACTAGTAGATGAACACGAAGACATTCTAAATTTTAAAAGAAATTTAGAAAAAAATGATAATTGCATTTATGAAAACAATAATGAGGAATACGACAATATTGCTGTTGAAACTAGAAGAAAAATTAGGTAAACTATACTTAAACATTAAACTTATTTTCCAATAAATTGAATTAAAATTATATAATATAATATTTTTTATTTTCAGAGCTTTTAAGTCAATAACGCAGGTTGAAGAAAAAAACAAAATTTATGATGACATTAAATATTATTCTCATCCAAATCGAATTCCTGAAAATAGGTGAATAAATGAAATTCAAACACAGTTTTCATCAAAATCTAAAACATTTCATTATATACATGCATAATGTACACATTTTTCAAATAAATAATTACGTTTTAGAACAAGTGACATTAAAATTTACCAAAATATGAAGAGTTCCCGTGATAGTCAGGCATCTATTTTGGAACACATCGTAGACGAATTAGTTAAAACAGAAGAGAGTTTTGTCTTCAAATTAAAAACAGGTTATGAAAATTATAAAAAAATATTTGCTGAACAAAAGGAGCTTCCCAAAGGATTAATAGGTAAAAAGTACGTTTTATTTAGAACTATTGAGGAAATATTAGATTTTCATGAAAATGAAATGCTGCCAATGTTACAAGCTAATCAATATGATCTCAATATGCTTTGTTCATCTTTTAGTAAATTTATTGAGGTACTGTCACTGTTAAAATTTAAATACATATGTATATATTTCTTAAAATATTAAATATTGCAGGAAAATAAATTTTATCCACACTTAATGTATATTATGCACAAAAAGAGGGCTGAAAATTTATGCAAGTACTACAAAAGTTTTTTCGATGTAACTTTTTATGCAAAAATTATTACTATAAATACAAATTAATTATTATTATTTTATATTGTATACTTAAGGAAAAAGCTAAAGAATTTAACGATAATTTAGGAATAATGAGTCTATTAATACAACCATTACATAGAGTGACAAAATATCCACTTCTATTCCAACAAATCATAAAGGATTGCTTTAAAAACTATGATATGAAACCAATATTGCAGTTTTGTTGCAAGACCGAAAAGAAAATGAGTGATTATGTTAAATTGATAAATGAATCCGAACGTGTTGGCAGCATTATTAATGTAAAGGAAAATGTAAGAAAAAAAAACAAACCTTTGTGTTCAAAATTTATTCACTATTACTGTTAAAATTACGAACAATGGCCAAAAATTGGGATCGATCTGTTTTACTAATTAGTTAATCATCAAAATTATATTGAATCCGAAAATTTAGGTAGCTTACATCATAAAGTTAATTATATTCTAATTGGTTGTATATAAAGGTACACCATTAAAATAATAGCAATATTCATTATTCATTATTATTTTTTGAAATAAAATAAATTTTAAACACAAAGGTTTCATAACAATAACTTTAACCAAGAAGTTTATGTATTTACGTTATATATATATTTAATTATTTAAAAGGTAAATCTTTACGAAGCCGGTCGATTAAAGAAAGTTGATAAATTTTATGTTTATGATTACAATCTTCAAAAAAGATTTAAATCCCGAGTTTTTCTATTTGAAAAGTCATTAGTGTATACTGAAATTTCTAATAAAATGAATTCAGAAGTTTTAAAATTTAGAGGTTTGTATCCTTGTGATAAATTATCTATGGCCATAAAAGAGCCTGGATTTACATTATATTGGGAAAAAAGACAAATTCAAGATTGTGACTTAGAAGCGAAAACGGAAGATATAAGAAATAGCTGGATAGAAACAATTAAAAATATAATTGTTAGTTATTTAGAAAAGAAACGGCTTCAGTCTCAATGCACGGGTCATTTTACAGCTTATAATCATTTATTTAGATATAAGTTTTTAAATAGAAGGATTAGTGTAGATTCAATTACATCAACATCAACAATATCATCCGCGGGCAATCAAAGTAATAATAGGATATCAATTATATCTACTGGATCATTTCATAGCTACAATACAGCTTAAATAATAAACATAACAAGACTTTGAGAAAAAAAAAAATTTAAAATACATACATATATACATACTTATCATTAAGAAATTAATAGAATTAGCAATTACTTACCAAATTTTAAAAATCAATTTCTACCTTATTTATGTCTTATATGTACATAAGTATATAATTTGTTCAATTTAACTTTTGTATTGTAATTAGTGTTGTAATGTAATTAATATCTATGCAGTCCGACATAAATACATAAAACAAATAAAGAATTTTTAAAAATTTGTAAAAGTGTGTAAGACTATTCTTTATACTGTACTATACTCATGTAGCTGTATCACGGTGTATGTCTATTATGGACATATATAAATATATCAGATCAACAATAATTATCGATTCTTTTATCGAAATCGATGCGATTTTACGGCCTTTCCGAGGTTTTGCAAGCCTTTCAAATATAAGGTTATACCAATATAAAAATATAAAATTATATTCGTTACATTTATGTACATCTTCAAACTTTTCATGATCTCATATGCATTATTTGTAAATGTACACATAACCTTAATTTTGTCGATATAACCATTTTTTTTTCACACGTTTTTATTATTTTTCAAACATAAATTTAATGAGAAAAAACATTTTATATTATAATTATATGACCAAATGACTCCGAAAACACACGATCCATCTGTTAAAAATCAAAAATACTATTTCCATCTACCAGAAAAAAAATAATCGAACGGCAAAAATCATCTATGCATTGTGTTTCAGGTAGTGTAGTTGTGCTCTGTTTTGGCTATTTGTGAGTAGTTTGAAGTTTTAAACTGGTAAATGGAACGCAAATACATATATTTTTTATGTAAGCATGTATGTATATGAAATTTCATTTTAAAAGAATAGCTATTCTTTTTCATTTTCAAATTTCGTTCTCATTTTCTCCAGTAATTTCCAAATTTTGAATTCGTACATGGACGTTGAATATAAAACACAATATCTGTCTAATTACGTGATAACGGCAACGAGTTTTATAATTTGATGGTCTTGGCAACTCCAAACGTTTGTAAATTTCAAAAATCAATACTGTCTAAATGACATATGTTAATTTGTTTTTTACTTTTAAAGTTTATCAAGATTCTCGACCAATTTGCCTTAATTAAATGCCTGAATAATTACAATGCTCAGAAAATTTTCTTCGACCATATTTCATTTTGTAAGAAAGCTATGAAAAGCAAAAATTGCAAAACGAAAAAATAAATAAATATATAAATTACAGACATGCAGAAGACTTCACAACTCAGCCCCGTGCTATAAACTTACAGATACTAAAGAAAATGACGGTGTCAGAGAAATAATTTTAAATGATCAAAAAACAAGGTGCATACGTAAATTTTTAATATAATTAAAATTTAAGCTGATTCAAATATTTATATTCTACCAGGAATTCCTTATCAATGCCCATGATGACGGAAATTTTAGAGGAAGTTAATAACAATATAAACGATGAAAATCTTCGTATAATTATACTATCATCTTCTCTAGAAAAAATTTTTTCCGCCGGCCATAATTTAAAAGAACTTGAAGCTGTAGATTCGCAAAAACGTAAAGAAATTTTTTCAAAGTTAACTGAAATTATATTTGCAATACGAGCAGCACCAGTTCCAATTATTGCTAAAGTCAATGGATTGGCCGCCGCTGCAGGTTGTCAGTTGGTAACTTCATGTGATTTATTAGTTGCAAGCACGGCAGCGTCATTCTCTTTACCAGGGTAAGTATAGTATCTACAAAATTACTAATTGGTTTTGAACAGAGAAACTTAAATTTTCTATACTAGAGCTGACGTTGGAATATTCTGTTCTACACCTGGTGTGGCTGTGAGTAGAGCTGTGAGTCGTATGAAATCTTCACATATGCTTTTTACAGGATTACCAATCAATGCTAACGAAGCGAATATTGCAGGTATGTTATATAATTCTCATATATCACATTGTTTATTGTTTTTCTTTCAAAGGAATGGTAAGTTGCGTTGTTCCGCCTGAGAAGTTAGATCAAGAAATCGATAGAATATGTATATCAATTAAGAGAAAAAGTAGAGCTGTGGTAGAATTAGGAAAAAACTTTTATTACAAACAATTAAATATGAATATTTCTGATGCATTCAGAGCTGCAGAAGATGTCATGGTTAAAAACTTGTCAACAAAAGATGGACAAGAAGGAATCAGAAGTTTTATTGAAAAGCGAAAGCCGCAATGGACAAATTCTTAGATAATAATTAAATACATTTTACTATCTACCTTCCAAAACAGTGGCATTTAAAAATGTAAAATCATAATCATAAAAATTTTTTATAACTGCTTAAAAGTGAATATTAAGGATATATGCAGGGTATAATTTTGTAAACCGATCTTGAATTTTTATACAATAAACTTTATAGCCAATTGATATTTTTATTTTGGTTTAAAATATTTTAGAATTTTTAACAATATTTTTTTTTGTAAAAAAGTATAAAACTAACTTATACGGAATCCCAAAACCATGGTTTATGCTGAAAATTTAAAAAGTTTGTATTATGAATTTGTCCACTTTGGCGATCTTTTCTCAAAAAAACTCTCCAATCCCTCTTGGGCATCATTCATTTTTAAATTTTTTACCAAAACTTCCTCTGCTAGCATGTAAGCATCCCATATGTCCATTTCAAGTTGTTTATAAAAAAATTGCTTTCCAATTTGCATCACTATACGACTTTTATTTGAAATATTTTCACAAATGAGAGCAACTTCATTATCTAAGTCATTTTTTCTCGCAACGCAACTTACAAGACCTTAAAAATTACAAAATGCTTAAAATTGAAAGAGTTTAGAAAATAATTTTAAATTATAACCTGCAATATAAGCATCAGAAGAATTTAAAGGCAAACCTGTGAAAAGCATGTGAAATGATTTCATTCTTGGCATAACTCTGGTTATTGCTACTGCTGGGGTCGAAGCAAATATTCCTATATCAGCCCTGAAATAAAATAAAATTATTACATTTTTTTTTTAAAATGCAAGCTAACATTTACGTTGCCAAACGAAAAGAAGATCTTTCACTACATATAACCATATCACAAGATGCTATAAGTTGACATCCAGCACCTGTAACTAATCCATCAACTTTTGCAATTACTGGAACAGGAGCCTTTTGTATTGCTTTAATAATAGAAAGCAAACGATCAAAAATTTTCCTTGATTTTTCCGGACCAACATCAGATATTTCTTTTAAATTATGACCTGCAGAAAAAACTGGACCAGTAGATGATAATACTATTACCCTCAAAGCTTCATTTTCCAAATTTCTTGTTATTTCATTGTAGAGTTCTGCCATCATATCCATTGAAAGAGAATGCCTAAAATGTAAAAATGCCTTCGTTACTTACATAAAATTACTTAAAGAAAATAACATAAAACCTTGTTCTTGGGTCATTTAAAATAATTTCTCTAATTCCATTTTTTTCAGTAGTTTCTGTTAGTTTTCTTCTTGTTTTTGTAGCACTATTTCGTCTTAATGTTCTAAAGGAGCTCTGAAAAATACTTGGATATTTAAATACATTCAAAATCTATTTGAAATAAATATCACCAAAGAGAATCGATTTAAAAAAATTCGGGCAGTTTGAAACATAATCCTGTTTTTTTTTTTTAATTCATTGTGTATAGCAATAGTATCCACTTTATTTAAAATTAGTAATAGTTTAGATTTATTTTTGTTTTTTAAAACCAGCTGACAGAAATGGTAAAAAATGACTCTGCAAATTTGAATCAGCTGATTTTTGTTTACAAAATCTAGAAAGGAGATCATAAGGAAATTAATGTGTGAGTGAAGTAGACGTTTTCTCTTTCTAATTCCGTAGTTTTAAGTTTCATATGGGTGTTTGTTAATTTTAAAAAATTAACAAATACCTATAGTTCTATGTGTTTGGTTAATTTAGAACTAATGTCTTTACATCTTAGATAAAAAGACATTATTAGAACTTATTAAGCCTAGTCATTGACTTATATTATCAGCAGAACTTATTATAATCTGCAAATTCTTTAGAACATAGTAACATATAATATACGTTCCGCTAATACGCAAATATGCGAATATATCTGAAATAAATTATGCGTCCCATTATCAGAAATCCTTTAAGAAAAACAATCAAATTGAAAAATATTTTAAAAACCTTTTCTGTGCATCTGTGCATCATACATCATATGAACATACATGTAAATATATTTTAGATTTAGTTATTATTCAGTAATTTGTTTCATTTCACATTTTCATTATATTTTTCATTATCATTTTTCCAATGTCCATTAAATTTTCCAAGTGCACAACTAATTATATAGGTGCTTAATGTAGCAGGCCATAACGTTTTGTCTATTCTGTGTCAAGTTCATTTTGAAATAACCCTGAATTTGATAATACACTTTTTAACTTCAAGCCAGAGAATCCGATTTAAGTAAATCTAACACTCTATTCCTCAGTTTAGCCTATTGAGAAGCAATATTTTTAAAAACGAAGTTGAAATTATAAAAAATTGTAAACAAATGGAATGGCTATACATAATTCCCACTTTTTGTACGTTATGTAAACACCTCCAAAACATTTGCGATAGATCATGAGTACCCAAATAATACGTACATGTGTATAAAGGTAATTCGTACATACTTATGTAGGTACCTACCTACAAAAAAATGCGAAATTTGCTATTTGGTTTTCAGCTTTTTTAAAAAGCATCCTTCATACACGTATGTCACTTAAAGTTCACAAAAAAAAAACATTTTGATGGCAAAATTCTTTTCAAAATTTTTCAGTTCTATGTATATTAATTTCAAAGTCAAAAATGTATTAAATAATTTATAGTAAAAAGTCCTTGAGATTAATTTTAAAAATTGAAATATTAAGAATACGCAGTACATAACTTTTTAATTAAACCATAATTTAAGTCGCAATGCATCCACGCCATTCAGGTAATAACGGAACAAACGCTTATCACGTACAAATCCTAAGTTCTCATATAACCGAAGTGCTGACACATTCTTCATTTCTGTTTCAAGTACGACCTCGTCTGCATTATCTGCCAACATGGCGTCTATCGCTTTTTGTACTAAATTTGTTCCTATTTTCAGTTTTCTATATTCCTTCTTTACTGCCAACATAGCAATATATCCTCGTTTTACACCGTTCATGTGCATATCAAGTTTACATACTATTGCTCCAACATATTTATTACCGTGTGTTGCAAGAAAACATAATTTTGGCCAATTGTAAATGAAATATCTGTACGTATAAATAGAATAAGGTTCAGATAATTCAGCCTGAATTAGTTTCATAATATCTTGCATTTGAACTTCTGACTCATATTCCTTGTATTCTATTTTAATATTATTTATATCTAAACCATTTGTATATGTAAGTTGTGCAATGTTTATTGGAGGTGCTTCACTTGGCTGACAATTTTGACTTGAAAAACCAATATTTTGTTCCTGTCGATTATTATTGTTAGACTCTAAAATTTCATTATTGCTTTTATTTACATCGTCACCATTATTGTCTCGTGAATTAAGAGATGCACAATTAACAACTTCAGAACATTGGATATCATTTAGGTTTTCGTTAATATTATGAAACAACGTTGGTTCCCTACTTTTACACTCTAAACATTCATATTTTTGTGCATCTATAGAATTATCCAATTCACCAATTGCCGATCCGGTGCATTCGTTTTGGCTTAATTCAACACATTTTTCAAAAGCTTCCACTAAATCTTTCTGAACATTTTCTGTGCTGGATGAGCTGTCGTTATGAGAACTATTTGGTTCCATATCCGTTTTAAATTTAGTTTTTTCGTTTCTTCTTTTAGAATTTTTATGATTAGAGTTATTTTTCTTTTCGTTATTCATTTTTTTTAAAGAAAAAATGTATCGTTTTTCTTAACTATATATAAATTTTCCAACCTTCTAGTTTCTTATTGAAACGTCAAACTTAACACATAAACGTCAAAAATGATTATCAAGACTGTCACCTTATAATCATACTACTAGTGTTACCTTAAAATCATATTACAGAGGTAGTAAAATTGCAGTTTGCATAAATTGAACATTAAACTTGATGTCGAAAAATAATAAGTTTCTCTGATAAATATAAGAAAGTGTTTTAAAACGTTGTTAAATTTGATAAACCTTTATAAAGTTTTAGTATGCAAATCGTCTGGTTTAATACTTTTTGAGAAAAAATGAAAGAAAATTATGTTTAAAGATTTTTAGAGTTTTGTAAAGTAAAATTTATTTTTTTAATAAATCTTAAAACAATACAGCTGTTAAAATGTAAGTTTTCCTTTGTTATGTCAAAAGGTTTTAAAAAAAAAGACAATATTTTCATTGTTTAAAATAGCTGAACGGGAACATAAATTTTTAACTAGAAAACATAACAAAACTTACAACAATAAAAATGTGAACATAAAAAACTTTTGTAGGTATCTTAGAACAAATTTCAAAAATATGTATGGTTTACTTAGCTTTATTTTAAATTGCAAAAGACAATACTTTTTGAAAAAAACAAGTCGTTTTTTTTGAGATCTCTATAACTGTCTATATTTATATTTATCTATGCCTATTTCTATTTTTCTAGACATTTCAAATATCTAATCATTATAGGGTGTTTTACTCTATGGAAAACGGTGATCAACGTTCAATCGGAACAAAATAAAAAAATTAGTATACTTAACTCAAAAAAAAATTACATTAAATTAGAAAATTATTAACAAACTATTCTCAAATTCTAAATATGATTTCATATTACATACATAAATTATAATATTGTTGAAGCAAGTCTATTTGAGTGACGTTCAAATTCAAAATTTTATAAAATGAACATGATGGGAATACAAACAACATTGAAATTGCCTCCAAAAAAAACCAAACATAAATATGTATGATACAAATTGCAGTCAAAATTTTTGGATTGTATTGTACAACTTGGCAGAAAAAGAATAATGAATTATGTAAGATTATAATTATTACTAACTAGTAAAAAACAGATATGTGCATATATACCTACCTACCTACATATACTTCAATTGAAATTGGCATCTTAATCTTTATCCATTTTTTTATTTGAAGGATATGATTGAATGATTATATTGGAATAGAACTTATCTGAACTAAGCTTAATATGCAGGTAAGCTGAATTAGTAAGCTAGATTAGTTTTTAAGTGTCAATTACCATTGTAATTTACAACATAAACACATAATTTGGCATTTATTATTCTTGACTGGCATTTCAATTAAAATTTATTTTATAGTTAAGTATTATACTAAGGTTTAATTTTATTGGTTTTCACCAACAATAGCAAAATCTAAACCAATGCTTAATTTCTAATCTTTTATCCTATATGAGATACAAGTGTATGCGCTCTCACTAATTAGAAACAGTAAGTGCCTACTTACAAAACATTCCCATTTTTTTTAATTGAACAATTTAATTTTACATTTCACGACTTTAATTGTTATAACAAACCAAATATCTATAAAATTATAATAAAATCATAGGTACTTTTATTTAGGGTTTTTATTAGGAATCTGCCAAAGCAAATTCGCAATAAAATTTCAGTTAAATACAAAATTAAAAATTTCTATTTCCTTAAAAAGCTTTTCATCCATCGTTACTTTACAAGAAATACATATTCAGATACAAAGGACATTATCTTATTAGGTAGAAGTTTAAAATAATAGATAAATTATACGTATTAGATTGTTTTGACATCGCTAATTTTTCGACAAAATTACACATAGTCTATAAAATGAATTCATAAATAGTACCATATACCCAACAAGCAATTTTTGTGATTATGTAAGTATATCAGGATGGGTGAATATGCCCGCACATACAATAAATGTTTTATTTCGATTTTAAATATGTTTACATACGTACATATATGTTATTATACCGGCTACAGGTAAAAATACAATTAAAAACAAAAATTTTATATGAATTTAATTGTACGCTCCCCAAAAATTTATAAGAATAACTCACATGTAACTATGTACGTACTAAGAAAAATACCACTCAAAATGAACTCACTTTAAAAGAGCACGAAGTGAAGTAATAACGAACCAAAGAAAAAATTACTTATTTTCATTTTTATTTTTTGAATAAAAGCTAAAGAATTCTTGGTTAATATTGTGTTATGTTAGTTACATGTTTGCGTGACTAACTTTTGGTATGGTAACGTAATTTCTATAAAATATACACATACATATATTATCGGGTAAATGTCACGGTAAAAGTCTTAATTATTAAGATATTTAGGATTTTGTATAAAAAACCCAAATATATAAACATATTCATGTTTAATTCTGAAAAGAATATTGATTTGATTTGTTAGATTTCCTTCGTATGCATGGAATATATTTAATAATTTATATAAGAAATACAATATTTTCAGTATTACAAACGTCTGTTTAAATTGATAAATTGAAAAAAATCGCTTTTTTAAAAAAATTTTAAATTAACTTGTAGAAAATTTTAGAAAATAATTTTCAGATTTCAATAAATATTTTATTAAAACAAAAATTTTTATACTTTGTTTCTTTTCACGGTATCTTTTCCGGGAATGTTTTCTAAACCTAAAGTTTTGAAAGTTCGTAGAGTATTTTAAATTTAAAAATAGTGTATTGCGTGGCAGTTAAATTTTATTTAAGCTTTTATATGTCTTATGTGTAAACAGAAAGGAAATTTAACAAATTGTTATAAATCAAGGTTAACCGACCTAATTTAATATTAGTTTTCTCAAGTAACCTACATGTAAAATAAAAGTTTTACACTTTATTATTGTTAATTTTAAATATTTTAGCTATTGATTTGACTTTCAAAGAAATATTTCAAAAAAGAAAATTTGAACAGTTTGTCCTCATACTCTTGCAATTGACATATTTTTTTTTCATTCGAATTTTTAATTGTTTAAACAGGCAATGCCTAAAAACTATTTTATTTTCATTACTTTACATGTAGGCAAGTTTTCATATTACATTTTACATAATCTACTCAATATTCACGTTTACCGTAACATTTATATAGATTCAACTATGTACATATATATTTGTACATACAAAAAAATATAAAATTTCTGAAAAAAATATTAAACACGATTGTTGGTCAACAAAAGTTTTCAACTTCAGTATTAATTTAAAAACTCGTTGACCGTCTTATACACCATTTCAAATGGTAAATTCGGAAAAAAAAACTTGAAACTTGATTTATTTTAAGGAACATTATCATAATATTATTTTATTTTTTTTTTTTGTCTGTCGCTAAAAAAAATTATAACAATGGAAATTGAAAATTGGAAAATATTTTAAATAATTCTTTTATTCTCTACGTTTTGGTATTTACTTATTGTGTTATATTGTATTTTTAAATATAAACTTACATACATACATATCTACATTATGTTTAACACATTAAATTTTTATAAAAATATCAAATTTAAATCATATGTGATGAAAATATAATATAGCTAAATTAAATAATGAAAAAAAATTCAAAAGATAATTAAAATCTAACATAAAATTTTGTAAATAATAAAATAAATATAATTTAATTGAATAAAATGTTATAGTTCATAATTAAAAATTCAAAAGAAAAATACAATATTTAATAACATATTTTAATATTAACAATATAAAAAAGAACTTTAATAACATTTTAAATTATACGTTTTAATTATACATGTACATATGTAAGTAGATAATTAACGTATAGTAATAAAATAGTAGATTTTTAGAACAATTTTTTATTTTTTACTTCGATTTTCTATAACTGGCTTGTTGTGTGGAAAAAAAACTAAACATGGTAACGTTACTAGTCAAGCAAAAAAAAAAATTTCCCCAAATACAATTTGTTTTGAAAGAAAAGAATTTCCAATGGTGTTGGTTTGTTGTTTTCCTTTAATAAACAAACTATATGAAAGGATATTAAGGTTTTATAAATGTTGAAGGATATTAACGGTAATGAATTCTTATTTTAACAAAAACTCTATAAATATTGTAGTAGGCGAGTCTGCGATAGCGAGTCTTTATAACAAAAATAAAATAAAAGACGAGAGTTTTGATGTACGTTTAGGGTTTATGAAATTTGTATTTTGAAAATTTTTTTTTTATAAATAACCACAGAGTAAATATTTAGAGAAGAACACATTTCAAGCCCAAAAAAAAATGAATTTTTGCAAGTCTATTAATACCTATATAAAGATAATATTTACTCTTATTACTACTTTTTGAACATGACTTCAAAATTATATGTAACATTGTGTTAACAAACAATTCAGGAACTTAAACATATGAGCTGAATTGTGCTTAAACGCCGTTTATTGCAATTTCGAATCAGATATATATACATGCACTTAAATGCGTTCAAGAATTTTTTAATTAAATATTTTATTTTCAAAAAGAACAGAATTATCTATTATTTTTTATGTGTGACATAACCTATGTCACACATATTGTATATTATGTGTGACATTAAATAAAGTGTGACATTATATCCCCTTCCCGACTAAGTATCAGATACGGCACCTAAAATTTTCCCCATGAATTCTTTCTTCCCAACAAATTCGAGTGCTTTGGGGTAATTAATTCTTCTTAATGAAGTACATCCAGAGAATCTTTTCTTGTGGGTCGAAGTTCTACACTCCATTATTTTATTCCATGGTTATACCCATGGGTATTTTTTTCAATTTGACTTATATATATACATAAATGTGTATGTAGGTGCCTATACGCAAAAATTCTAAGTATAAAATGAAACAAATTTTATAGCGTAATTCGCGAAAAATAAAAATTTTGAGCACATTATTAATTATACACTTTCTTTTTATTCTTTTGTCACTCACTATAATTCGGCCTTGTAAAAAACTCTTTTTATTATTATTTTTTTTTCTACATATATTAACATTTTTACATATTTAAATATTATAAAAGCAAATAAAAAAAAATATAATATGGGGAGCACATGTAAATAAAGTTATAATAAAAATATAAAAGAAAATAATAAAATGAAAAAAAAAACCCTCAGTATCTTCCTCCCCATATGCTAAGATTTTTTTTATAGAAATTGGCAGACTATCCTTAAAGGATATTTTTAGTTTTAAACACAAAGGTTGATGTCATATTTCACGTAATTAGCGGTTTTTTTTTCTTGCTTTTTATTCAATTTTCTATGGGTAAAATTTATTATTATACAAAAGTGTTAGTTTTCGTACATATAAACTTATATTATTATAACACTTAGTATATAGAATTGCCATCAAGAGTATTAATAAAATTAATATCAATTCTAAAGTGAATAAAGAGAAAATAAATTTTTAAAAATTTAAATTTACGATAAATATATGAAATTATTTAAGTTAAATAATTTAATTAATTAATTTTTATTAATTAATATAAAATTATGTATTTAATTATTGTTAATGTAAAATAAACATTTGCGTTTTATTTTTTTCATTTCTTCGATTTTTAATGACTTGTACTCTGTGTACTTGTGATATGTGTGAATCAATTTTACACGATAATATTACACGAAATGTTACATGTTACTATATAATTATTTAAATAAATTAATTAAAATACTTTTCATATTAAATTATAATTTGTAAAATGAAAATTTTTTAAATATTTTACCTTTGAAATTATAGTGTTTCCATTATTGGACAAACGTTGTTAGTTGAAGTTTTTTTAATCATCCATTTACACACATATGTCATTATTGAGTGTATTAAATTCGATTATAAATTTGATAATAATTTCGTCATAAATTTTCATATATTTTCATTTTTTTGAATCGAAATAAAAATTAGGTGTGTTTTACAGTATTATTAAAGTTCATACATTCCGTAACAAACTGTTCGAAATTGCATCACAAGTATAATAAAAATTTTTATTGTAAATTTTTTTTTTTTTGGGAAAATTTTTGTAACTTTGTAATTATCAAAAATTGATTAGATTTGTCCGAAACTTATTCAACTTTTGTTGAAATCGTAAAAAATTATTTTAAAATTATTTTAAATATTTTTCTTTTTTACTTCTTTTAAATAAAGTTTTTTATTAAGAATCAAGACAATAAAATAAATAATAAAACAAAAATATTTTATTATGACGAAAAAAAAAACATATACTTTATTT